TTCGAAAATGTCGCTCCGCGACCATCAACAGCCTATATTTTTGAAATCAGCACGTCGAGATCTACGTCCCTGAATTTTTTCAGAATTTTCAAACGACTTTTTCAAAAGTGAAAATTTTCCAATGGTCCCCCCTTCTTCAAATTTCGGCCAAATTTTGACATTTTCGAAACCTAACTGAGTACATTTTCTTGTAGATTTCGAGCTCTAGAACTCACTTCCGGCCTCGATTCTTTGATAGCTGCAACCGTTTTTCCAGAATCGACGGTTGAAATATCGAATTTTTTGAAAATTCGATAAATCAGTCATTTCGTACCGATTTTTTCGAAAATGTCGCTCCGCGACCATCAACAGCCTATATTTTTGGAATCAGCACGTCAAGATCTACGTCCCTGAATTTTTTCAGAATTTTTAAACGACTTTTTCAAAAGTGAAAATTTTCCAATGGTCCCCCCTTCTTCAAATTTCGGCCAAATTTTGACATTTTCGAAACCTAACTGAGTACATTTTCTTGCAGATTTCGAGCTCTAGAACTCACTTCCGGCCTCGATTCTTTGATAGCTGCAACCGTTTTTCCTGAATCGACGGTTGAAATATCGAAATTTTTGAAAATTCGATAAATTAGGCATTTCGTTCCGATTTTTTCGAAAATGTCGCTCCGCGACCATCAACAGCCTATATTTTTGGAATCAGCACGTCGAGATCTACGTCCCTGAATTTTTTCAGAATTTTTAAACGACTTTTTCAAAAGTGAAAATTTTCCAATGGTCCCCCCTTCTTCAAATTTCGGCCAAATTTTGACATTTTCGAAACCTAGCTGAGTACATTTTCTTGTAGATTTCGAGCTCTAGAACTCACTTCCGGCCTCGATTCTTTGATGGCTGCAACCGTTTTTCCAGAATCGACGGTTGAAATATCGAAATTTTTGAAAATTCGATAAATTAGTCATTTCGTACCGATTTTTTCGAAAATGTCGCTCCGCGACCATCAACAGCCTATATTTTTGGAATCAGCATGTCGAGATCTACGTCCCTGAATTTTTTCAGAATTTTTAAACGACTTTTTCAAAAGTGAAAATTTTCCAATGGTCCCCCCTTCTTCAAATTTCGGCCAAATTTTGACATTTTCGAAACCTAACTGAGTACATTTTCTTGTAGATTTCGAGCTCTAGAACTCACTTCCGGCCTCGATTCTTTGATAGCTGCAACCGTTTTTCCAGAATCGACGGTTGAAATATCGAAATTTTTGAAAATTCGATAAATTAGGCATTTCGTACCGATTTTTTCGAAAATGTCGCTCCGCGACCATCAACAGCCTATATTTTTGGAATCAGCACGTCGAGATCTACGTCCCTGAATTTTTTCAGAATTTTTAAACGACTTTTTCAAAAGTGAAAATTTTCCAATGGTCCCCCCTTCTTCAAATTTCGGCCAAATTTTGACATTTTCGAAACCTAACTGAGTACATTTTCTTGCAGATTTCGAGCTCTAGAACTCACTTCCGGCCTCGATTCTTTGATAGCTGCAACCGTTTTTCCAGAATCGACGGTTGAAATATCGAAATTTTTGAAAATTCGATAAATTAGGCATTTCGTAACGATTTTTTCGAAAATGTCGCTCCGCGACCATCAACAGCCTATATTTTTGGAATCAGCACGTCGAGATCTACGTCCCTGAATTTTTTCAGAATTTTTAAACGACTTTTTCAAAAGTGAAAATTTTCCAATGGTCCCCCCTTCTTCAAATTTTGGCCAAATTTTGACATTTTCGAAACCTAACTGAGTACATTTTCTTGGAGATTTCGAGCTCTAGAACTGACTTCCGGCCTCTATTCTTTGATAGCTGCAACCGTTTTTCCAGAATCGACGGTTGAAATATCGAAATTTTTGAAAATTCGATAAATTAGGCATTTCGTACCGATTTTTTCGAAAATGTCGCTCCGCGACCATCAACAGCCTATATTTTTGAAATCAGCACGTCGAGATCTACGTCCCTGAATTTTTTCAGAATTTTCAAACGACTTTTTCAAAAGTGAAAATTTTCCAATGGTCCCCCCTTCTTCAAATTTCGGCCAAATTTTGACATTTTCGAAACCTAACTGAGTACATTTTCTTGCAGATTTCGAGCTCTAGAACTCACTTCCGGCCTCGATTCTTTGATAGCTGCAACCGTTTTTCCAGAATCGACGGTTGAAATATCGAAATTTTTGAAAATTCGATAAATTAGGCATTTCGTACCGATTTTTTCGAAAATGTCGCTCCGCGACCATCAACAGCCTATATTTTTGAAATCAGCACGTCGAGATCTACGTCCCTGAATTTTTTCAGAATTTTCAAACGACTTTTTCAAAAGTGAAAATTTTCCAATGGTCCCCCCTTCTTCAAATTTCGGCCAAATTTTGACATTTTCGAAACCTAACTGAGTACATTTTCTTGCAGATTTCGAGCTCTAGAACTCACTTCCGGCCTCGATTCTTTGATAGCTGCAACCGTTTTTCCAGAATCGACGGTTGAAATATCGAAATTTTTGAAAATTCGATAAATTAGGCATTTCGTACCGATTTTTTCGAAAATGTCGCTCCGCGACCATCAACAGCCTATATTTTTGGAATCAGCACGTCGAGATCTACGTCCCTGAATTTTTTCAGAATTTTTAAACGACTTTTTCAAAAGTGAAAATTTTCCAATGGTCCCCCCTTCTTCAAATTTCGGCCAAATTTTGACATTTTCGAAACCTAACTGAGTACATTTTCTTGCAGATTTCGAGCTCTAGAACTCACTTCCGGCCTCGATTCTTTGATAGCTGCAACCGTTTTTCCTGAATCGACGGTTGAAATATCGAAATTTTTGAAAATTCGATAAATTAGGCATTTCGTACCGATTTTTTCGAAAATGTCGCTCCGCGACCATCAACAGCCTATATTTTTGGAATCAGCACGTCGAGATCTACGTCCCTGAATTTTTTCAGAATTTTTAAACGACTTTTTCAAAAGTGAAAATTTTCCAATGGTCCCCCCTTCTTCAAATTTCGGCCAAATTTTGACATTTTCGAAACCTAACTGAGTACATTTTCTTGCAGATTTCGAGCTCTAGAACTCACTTCCGGCCTCGATTCTTTGATAGCTGCAACCGTTTTTCCAGAATCGACGGTTGAAATATCGAAATTTTTGAAAATTCGATAAATTAGGCATTTCGTACCGATTTTTTCGAAAATGTCGCTCCGCGACCATCAACAGCCTATATTTTTGGAATCAGCACGTCGAGATCTACGTCTCTGAATTTTTTCAGAATTTTTAAACGACTTTTTCAAAAGTGAAAATTTTCCAATGGTCCCCCCTTCTTCAAATTTCGGCCAAATTTTGACATTTTCGAAACCTAACTGAGTACATTTTCTTGTAGATTTCGAGCTCTAGAACTCACTTCCGGCCTCGATTCTTTGATAGCTGCAACCGTTTTTCCAGAATCGACGGTTGAAATATCAAATTTTTGAAAATTCGATAAATTAGGCATTTCGTACCGATTTTTTAGAAAATGTGGCTCCGCCACCATCAACAGCCTATATTTTTGGAATCAGCACGTCGAGATCTACGTCCCTGAATGTTTTCAGAATTTTTAAACGACTTTATCAAAAGTGAAAATTTTCCAATGGTCCCCCCTTCTTCAAATTTCGGCCAAATTTTGACATTTTCGAAACCTAACTGAGTACATTTTCTTGTAGATTTCGAGCTCTAGAACTCACTTCCGGCCTCGATTCTTTGATAGCTGCAACCGTTTTTCCAGAATCGACGGTTGAAATATCGAAATTTTTGAAAATTCGATAAATTAGTCATTTCGTACCGATTTTTTAGAAAATGTGGCTCCGCGACCATCAACAGCCTATATTTTTGGAATCAGCACGTCGAGATCTACGTCCCTGAATTTTTTCAGAATTTTTAAACGACTTTTTCAAAAGTGAAAATTTTCAATCGTCCCCCCTTCTTCAAATTTCGGCCAAATTTTGACATTTTCGAAACCTAACTGAGTACATTTTCTTGCAGATTTCGAGCTCTAGAACTCACTTCCGGCCTCGATTCTTTGATAGCTGCAACCGTTTTTCCAGAATCGACGGTTGAAATATTGAAATTTTTGAAAATTCGATAAATTAGGCATTTCGTACCGATTTTTTCGAAAATGTCGCTCCGCGACCATCAACAGCCTATATTTTTGGAATCAGCACGTCGAGATCTACGTCCCTGAATTTTTTCAGAATTTTCAAATGACTTTTTCAAAAGTGAAAATTTTCCAATGGTCCCCCCTTCTTCAAATTTCGGCCAAATTTTGACATTTTCGAAACCTAACTGAGTACATTTTCTTGTAGATTTCGAGCTCTAGAACTCACTTCCGGCCTCGATTCTTTGATAGCTGCAACCGTTTTTCAAGAATCGACGGTTGAAATATCGAAATTTTTGAAAATTCGATAAATTAGGCATTTCGTACCGATTTTTTCGAAAATATCGCTCCGCGACCATCAGCAGGCTATATTTTTGGAATCAGCGCGTCGAGATCTACGTCCCTGACTTTTTTCAGAATTTTAAGACGACTTTTTCAAAAGTGAAAATTTTCCAATGGTCCCCCCTTCTTCAAATTTCGCCGAAATTTTGACATTTTCGAAACCTAACTAAGTACATTTTCTTGTAGATTTCGAGCTCTAGAACTCACTTTTCTGGGACCCTGAGAAAATTATTTTGACACAAAAAAAATTACTATTGACACTAAAGAAAATAAATTTGGACTTGGAAAAATTTTTCGAGAATCTGCAAAGTTAACCTTGGACCCTTGGAAAATTATTTTGACACTTAAAAAATTACTATTGATACTAAGGAAAAAAAATTTCGACTTGGAAAAATTTTTCGAAAATCCAGAAATATTCCAAGACCTTGAGAAAATACTTTTGACACTAGAGAAAATACTATTGACACCAAGGAAATAACTTTTAACACTAAGGAAAAAAAATGCATAGTATGCATAAGTTATACTTAATTTTATTATGCAAGAATAATAACAGAGGCACTAGTTTTATTACAATTCATAAGAGTAACAACTAACAAGAAAAAACAGTACAAAAATATTCATCATATAATAAAAATTGAAATTAAATTCCTAGTACAGATAAAATTAATGGACTTACATAACAACAAAGCACTCTTTCATAAGAATTATAACCACCTCAACAGTACTGTTACGGATAAACTAAACAAATGTATTGAACAAATCCATTTTCGACTAAAAAAAAATCACAATCATTTTCAATAGTCTCTGTCGAGAAGGTATGTACCTAAACTACGGGAGTGGCTGATGCTTACAACTTACTGATCTACCATGGATTTGGTGGATAACCACCTTGAGGTTGTTGAGAATATCCAGAAGGAGGTTGTTGTGGATAACTTCCGGGCGGTGGTTGTTGTCCGTACCCGGGAGCAGCTGGAAATCCTCCTGGATAGTTATATGAACCTAAAAAAAAAACCATAGTGGTTTAGAAATTCAACATGGCACTTTTCTACTACTTGGATAGGGCATTGTTCCATAGGGATTATAGCCTTGAGGCATTGGAGGGGGGACATACGCCGGGTATGGAGTCGAAGCTGAAGCACCATATGGTACGGGCATTCCTTGTACATATACTGGATAAGGTACTCCACCTGGCGCTTGTGGAGCCTGTGGGGGTTGTGATGGTTGTGGTGGCCGTGGTGGAACCTCCTTTTTAACGTCTACGAATTGACTTTTACGGTTCGTTTTCAAAATATCTAGCGTTACAAGTATACCTGGATCTGTATGATACGATGGCTGAGTGGGAGCAGGCAAAGGTGCTTGCCTACTTGATTCTTGGGTTAAATCCTTTAATAATTCTTCTTTCTCTGTTTTTCGAGCAAAGCAATAATCAGAAACTTTATTTTGAAAAGCTACCAATAACTGGGTAAGATCATTATAAAATTTCGTTCCCTCTTTCAAATTATTGAGCAGATCTCGAAAAGCATCATGGGCGGCAGCTAACTGACACATTTTGCTTTCGCGACCACTCGTAGTAGAACCTCTTTCTTGGACGAATTGAGAATGAGCTTGCTGCAATAAATGTTTATTTTAAGCCTATCATTATACACACAGAAATATGTCTTACTTGTATCCTTTCGATCAAACCTTCTTGTTTTGCAATGCTTTCTCTTACTTGTTTCTGTAATGGACCATACACCTGTCCCAGACTCTCTACGGAAAGCGCAGGTTCAGTTATGGCACCGTCTTTACTCAAAGCAGATAAAAATGTGCTCTTCATATCGAAGCTTGCATTTTTCAACTCTGATTCGATTACATCTCTTTCGGCTTTTATCGTCTCCACTTCTTCCATTAGTTGTCGTAACATAGTAACAGAGGACGAGTTTGTAACATTGCCTGATGACCCTTGCGGCACGGCCGCTTCCAATTCGCTTGGTGATTTGCTTAGCAACGTAATTCCATCCCTGTGAGATTCAAATTTTTCGCGAACAACTTTATCGGCCTAAAACAATATAGTGTTACATCGACGAATAAGTAGTACACGCACTCTTGAATGCATACCTCGACCGCATTGTTTATAATTTGTCTGTATTTTGCCCCATTTGATCGAAACATTTCCGTCAGTTTTTCAGATGGGGTCCTGGTCCAACGTTCTTTAAATTGTTGACGTAGAGAATCATCCGCTTGCTTTTCTTCATTCAGCATACGATCGGTCTAAAAATAAAGCGTAAAATTCATAAAACATTGTCAGAAAAATATAACAAAGTACTTCATCGAGTATGTCTTGATTCCTTTTCAGCGCGTCTGGTAGTTCGCGAATCATTCTTTCCAATTCATTAATACCACCCAATTGGCTTACGACATTTGCTTTTTCTAATATAGAGGGTGGTAACGCTGAACCACCGTCGGTGACTTCAATTGCTGCTGGCAAATTTAACGAAGCTAGTATCCTAAACAAAAAAATATATTTCTAGTACATCACTCCCAAAATTAAAAATACCCATTCAAGGTAGTTGTAGACTCCCTGAGGCGTCCAATTTCCGTATTCACAATTTCAGTCTTTCGCACATCATAGGCTGCTAATGCTTGGTGTACGGCAACTGGCACTAATTCAGTGAATAAATCTTTAAAGTTCTGACTCATGGGTTGCGTTAAAGGCAACACTTTTGCTGGTTGAGCTTTACCAATAGGATCCACTGATTTAATATCAGGAATTCTCTCATGGTAAATGAAATCGTTATCTTTTTTAGCGTCATTTAGATTTCTTTGAGCCTTATGTTGCAGTTCCTGAAAAAAATTTTTGCCGGCACGCTGCGAAGCTGTTTGGAACAAAGCAACCGAATGCTCCAACCTGGTGATTTCTTCGCCTATTAGTTTACTATTTTTACAGACAAGGCTCTGATAAAATTCTGACACAGCATGAAGAGCGGCTTGCTTTCCTGCAATCTATTATACGCGTAAATGTTAATGAAATCGTTGAAAGATATACCAACCGTGGGTATCCAATCTTTGTCCCAAATATGTTTCAAATTTTCTCTCTGAAATATTTTCAAACACTCACCATAAAGATCTTCACATTGGGAGGCCAATTTGGCAACAATGGAATCTTTCATGTTGTCTAAAAATATGCACAAAGTATAAATACTCGACTGCATCTATTTTATAAAATAAAGAAGACATGCATAGAAGAAATTGAAATACAGTGATACGCAGCTGTCCTACTTGGAAAAAGAATGGTCCAGAGTTATTTAAAGAATTTCCCTCGCCCAATAATACAACCTATTCTGCACGCAAGTTTAACGACTTTCAAAAAAAAAAAACAAAACTTTAGTTTTAAAATGAGTAACGAAAACAGTATCGTTCTTAAACTTAAAAAAATAAAAAAAGTATATTTTATAATAAACAATAATTGGCAATACATGGTTATTTACCTTAATTAACCCAATCATCATCATCATTAAACAACATTTTGTTAAAAAATACAAATGCAACATATTTTTGGTTTTTATTATTTTTTAAGTGGGGCGAGGGGTAACTTTGAAATATAAATAGGAACCCCTTCTTTTTAGTGCAGATTCGGATTGATTCTATGACTAAAAGTACGGACAATTTGTCTGAAACATTTTTTTCGATTCATGATAGATGACGCTGTAATAGACGAAATTCAGTCATTTAGATTTTCCCTACTGCACTGCATATTTTTCAAGATATTTGAAAGTTTCAGGTTAAAAAAATCACCCTGTATTTGTGTGTCTACTATACAAAATATTTACACACGTCATAAAATATTATACAAAAACTGAATACTAAATCATAACTGACAAAGGAAAAACACATTAATTTTGCATTGATTTCATGAATTGAAAAAATTCTTCAAACGAGAAAAATACATAGAGGTTATCGGGATTTGTTGGGTTAAACTTCAGGGACGAGGGAAGTTGAGTCGAAATAACCTTCCATCAATTTTTTTTCTTACATAACCTACATGCATCAAGTTAAAAGTAGTTGTAGATTAATAAATCACAAGTACAGACGAACGCTATGTAGTTGCAAGTGAGAATAACTTCATTCAACTTTTAAGATAACATAGAGAAAAGATTTAAAAATTCTGACTAACGATATAATCACGTTTACAATAAGCTGTATCCCGAAAATATTAATTTAAAGACACTATAAATCATTCCTGAGATATATATCTTCTGACATAAAAGTTGAAGAAATGACTTAAAATTGTTTTCTTCACCAGATGTCCCCTCATTAACTGTTACAAAACTTCTGTAAACATGACACTTTAATACCTTGTTGTTTACATTAAATTTTGCATCTAAGAAAAATATTTCTTCAGTAAAATAAAACATGGATTTAAGAGAATATTTTTCCATAACAACTAATAAATGGATAAAAATGAACAAAATTGTGCTAATACACAATAACACAAATTTACTTGAATATTTGTCAAACTTACCATGAATAGCTTTATGAACAAAAATTTCCTGACCTTGCGCCAACATCAAACTTGACAATGCTCCTAATGTATCAGGATTTAAATCAGGAGTAGGATCTTGTTGTATTGACAGCATGACAGTGGACTTCAAGTGACTAAAAATGCCAGCTGCTTGCTGAAGTAATAATTAGACCATACAATTACTAAACCATATTTGAACAAACCTGGAACAATTTAGCAGCCAATTTAAGTCCATCATCATTCTCAACACTTTGACTAGCAGCCACCGCACTTTGTAAAGCAGCAATATTAAACAAAATGCACACTTTTTCATAGCTTAATGAGGCAATTGCTATAAACGTGATTTATTATAACAATATCACTGCATGTGTTTTACCATACTTAAACTGATCCTAGAACCAAAAATTGAACCCTTATCAAATGCATCTTTCCATTTAAATGGAACTTGAAGTTCTTGGGCAGGAATTTTTGTCTCTAAAGAAACCAACTGATCATAATAGCTAAAAATATCGCCTTGTTATAGAGGGTTGAATTAATTAAAGATGATTCATACCCATAAATAATTTCCAACGAGCTCTCGTACTTCTCAAATGTCTTCCAAATTGCATTATTCCTTAACTTGGACAAGTCATTGATGGCTTCATTGCAATCTTCCGGTTTGTCAGCGGTACTATATCTCGATTGAATTAAGTTTTTTAAGGGCGTCACTAAATCAACTTCGGATGGTTTTTTTAACGGAACCGACAGCAATTCTGCCATTTTTAAAAAAGGTAGGTAGCTGACTTTTTTTTCTATGATACCTAAATGTCAACAACAGTGACAACAGTTAGATCATTTAAAACAGTATACAAGTTGGATCTATTACAGCTCGCGTAACTCACAATCCACTTCACTTGAACACTTTTTTTTTTAAACGAAACAAAAAATTCACTGAATGTTGTAGTAGCGCCAGCGCCCCTTACTGCTGGTGCTGATGATGTGAGTAATTGACAAAAAAATCGTAGCAAGAGCAAATGTCAAATGTCAACATCAACTGTCATCTTGCTCCATTCCAAACGCTAAAAATCCCTAATCCCTAAACTTAACATAACATTGCAACCATAGATATTGCAACATGGAAAGTTCTTCGTTCTTCCATGCAATGTCCGAGTCTAATAAAATAAGAGTTTGGGGTGGAGCTCTGGGCTGTGCTTACGAACCGAAACAGAGAAATCAGTAATCACGGAGAAATGTCAGAACGACATCCGTCATCAGTTCAAAGATTGTTTTCACATGTATAATTGGTTGCATATAAATCTTTATTTACTAACTAGTTATAATAATACACAGAGATCTGTACGTGCATTAATAATTTGCCAAAATGAAAACACATATCTGCATTCTACCTTGGAAATACACCCAACACCTAAGTATTAAATTTGAAGTATAACCAACTTATAATGAGGGTGACTCAATGGCAGATTGAAATTTTGTAAGTGTTTAGACGTTTCCGAACGTTTTAAAGTGAAATAATAAACTCAAATTCCACAAACGTTAAAATAATTCATTTATATTTTATTCAACGGTATAAAAGGTAATGCACATTGAAAAAAAAAAGTGTAACCTTCAAGTCAGTTGCCCGTAGCATAGTAAATTTACAGTATTTACATTTATTAGTAGAATTTATTAGCTGAAATTGCCACATTAATCTGAGTCACAAAATCATTTATGCAATAAATAAAATCTATAAATATGAAATACAGAATATAATAAATACACTGTTTAAAGGGCTATACCAATTAAGAAACCACCCACAAATCCCGCAGAAAATACTTTGTTTTTTGTGGCAAACACTCTCACCTAAAACATACATATACACCACTTATGCACCAAATAAACCAAAAGTATAAATTCTCACCTTGTTTACGAGAGGAGTCGCTTTTCCTAACTCATTCGTTTTCTTTTGTGCCAACTCTTTTAGAGTATCCCAATCTTGTTTAATATATCCATGATGATGAGCAATCTGGTGGACAATTATACCAGTTCCCACAATAAGAGCAACGTTTTTTCCAGCGTGACGTACAACAACACCTGTGAGCCTAATTTCCGTTTAAGGAATTGCAAAATACTTATGCATTTAGAACTGACCATCCCGACGCTGTCCCAGCAGCTAGATGTTTAGCAAAATTACTTTGCCCCAACATTTTCGCTGCTTGATCGAGGGACTGTTTAGCTTTATTATTTCCACTTTGATTCCCTTGCATTGCCATTGTGATGAACTGGTGCAAGTATACGTTTTGACTAGAAAGTTGGATAAATGTTTTAAATTAATACACGATAAGGGAAACAATCTCGTGATGCTGGTGACAGTGGTTAATAAACAATGCAATGAACTTACCTGAAAACGGATATTTTTTATAAATAGTTAAAAGTGTGACAGTTCGAACATTCTAAATTTATTGGCGACTTCTATGCTGGTATAAGAATTGTTAGGAACATCGGATGACAATTTCCTGTAATGACATAGCACACTTTGGTGGACCTATGGTTAGAAATCTACGTTTTCAGTTGAAAATGACGAGAAAAATATTACAGTTTCAAAAGTACGTGTAACAGTACTAATCGCTTTTGTTAATCATTTGCTTTTTAATCCTTTCTCCTTGTATTCACTCGTTTTACCAAGGATTTTACGAACAAAGTACCAAAACAATGTTCGCATGTGTATTACTGGTTATCTACACTGCATCGCAGGGGCACAGCATAGATAACAATCAGTAGGGACGGCTCGCCGTTTTTCGTGACCCGTTTTCGTGGGTGGTCGTTCGCTTTATGACCGAATGAGGGCGCCCAACTGACGTCTAAAATATTTGAAATTTGGCAGTTTTGTTACAATATTTTTGCCGGTTTTGCTTGTTTAAGACTGCTTTTCCAGTAGAATTGTACAAATAGTATAAAAATGTAATTTTCACAATAAAAGGTAAAATCTTCGTCCGATGAATTTTCATACAGGATCCCTGTTGTGCGCCTGCCTTATTCTCTCCCTCGTGTTTGGAATTCTTGGAAAAGATAGTAAACATAACACACTTTTTGTTTAAAAAGTCGTCGCAAACGAACAACAACGGTGGTTATGAAATAAATATAAAACATTTATTATATATGATTCCGTTGTTGTGGTAAAATTTAATATAAAAGTAATAAGAAACAAACTACACGTAACAAAAAATTATATAAGCAGACCTTCACTCAATAAACATTTCAAATGGCTTTTAGAAAATTAATCATACAAGATTATTTTGATGAAACTAACACAGGTAATCAAAACTGCGAGCCTGATTTGGAAGAAATTTTAAAGTTAAATGTAGGTCGTCGTTTTGATGAAGAAGAATCAGTCACCACGATGCAGAAGACCACCTTAAAAGATTGTGATTATCACTTTCACACAGCTGAACAAAACGCAATTAGGTATATCTGTGGCTACCTAATTCGGAAATGTTTATTAGCACATAGTTGTAGTGAATGTGAAAAATATGCAAATGAACATAAAAGTTTAGACAACACAAGCATATATTCACATTTCAGAGCCTACCAAACGAAGAATTGCGAGTTATTTGGTAAATTATATATGCCAAACGATAATTTCTTTTTTTACATTTGTGAATTAGAGCAAATTTTTAGTGAAAATTTTGAAAATATAATTTTACAAACAACTACTATGTTGAAATTTTTAAATTTATATAAGCAAGCTACATTTGTTCATCCATGCCAAAACTTTCCATACGATTATTTGCTTGCTTTGTATGCTAGGATGAGATTATTTTATGCACTAAAATTTGTAAATGCTAGCTTTAAATTTACAAATGCCAAAGGTGAAAAAATTAATAGAAAAAAAATAATTTGGCAGCATTAACTTTTTTCCTTTTTGTAATTTAATTTTTATTTTATTTATTTATTTTTTCTTAAATAAACCTCTTTCTTTTTAGATGTATTTATTGCATTATTTTTACAATGATAATTAAACCTCAAGTATTCAGGGAAAGAATGTGCGAATTGTCAAATTGTATAAGTAATAAAATAAAAACTGTAACAAATCATCGTGTTTATAATTTAAATATCGACTTTTTTTTTCTTATTGCGATTCATGATTATACGATTTGAGCAAACTACACAGTTTGCAATATTGCGTACACGAATCAATTTTTGAAATTTTAAATGAAGTGATACTTTTTAAATTGGGTGGCGACATCTAGGAATAGTTTAGGCAACGACCATCCATGACGGCTTAAAATTCGGGTCAGAAAGAACAAAGGCGCCGACACGAGCTGTCCCTACTGATTGTTATCTATGCTGTGGCAGGGGTACCGACCGTTTCAAAGTCACCCAAGAACGCGAAGATCATTTGCTAAGAAGAAGTGTTATTCAATACCCTTGGTAACCATAACGATCAGTCGGGATGGACTGGATGACAGCAGTTGTGCACAGAATCCAAGGAGTACCATCTACCGCCAAGTTCGTTCCTTTGGCTTGAGATCTTATGGTCCAAACTGTAAACTTCCCTTACCACAAGAACACAAAACTACCAGGCTTCACTGGTACCAAGACAGGCAGCAATGGCTGTAATAGTGGAATGTCATAATGTTTAGAAGCGAGTCTAGGTTTTTTTTGTGGCACTCTGATGGACGCATACGTGTTCGAAGGCCTCGAGGCCAAAGGTAAAATCTGGAATTTGTTCAGAGACGTCATACCGCTCTAACACCTGGAGTAATGATATGGGGTGGTATACACATCTGTTGAAGTACCCCCTTAGTGTTCATTCCTGGCACGCTAAATGCCCGGCGTTACATCGATAACGTTATGGTGACCGAATTTAAATCAAAGTTTTCGCGCTGAAATTAATTGACAGCGGCGCGAAATCGCACTTGAATAATTTGAATTTGAAAAAAAAATTCAGTCACGAAAAGGGAATCGTTAAACATAGGCAACCGAATAGACATGGCTGGGTTAATGCATGATCATTGGGTTAGATGGCAGCACGTAGCGCTAGGGTGATTTCAGTTAGAGGGTTGGTAGAGAAACTGCATGGTAGATCATTCTGGTGTGTTTGGTGTAAGTGTAACCACGTGGTAAGAACTAGGTTTAAATTAGTTGGTTTGGTAGTTAATAAAACAGGAGGAAGCCCTTGTTTAACGACGATCAAACGTATTTTTCATAATGATACAGTTGTCCCCAACCCGCGCGGTTAATTCTTGCGCCCTTTTAATCAGAGAAATGCGGACTTCCGGTTGAACGCGAACACGTGCTGTAAATTTGTTTCTTTGTTTGTAAATTCACCAATCAAGTTAGTTTTTCTTAATACTTAGCTAGAGCAAACACAATTTAACAATCAGGATTATTTAAGTGAACCATTTGCTAGAAGATTTCATGAAATTCACTTATTAGTCAGGAAAAACACCTTATGTTTAATTACGAATAGGTCTCTGGATGCATATACGTAAGTGTTACATTATAACACTTCTAAATTCTTCACACAAGATTGCTAATAGTTCATTTACGGCAGTTAAACAAGTTCATTGTACTGCGGACTGGCGGGGGGGTTATGATATTTTCTCCCCTTAGGTGGTTATCATCGTTATCACGATTAATTCATCGGGGCATGTTTCGCAACGCCAGATTGATTAATTAATCAAGGCATGCCCCCAACGCTACAGAAAATTTACATCACCGAGACGCTTTTTCCTCGCAACGATTTTGGAATTTACATCACCGAGACGCTTTTTCCTCGCAACGATTTTGAAATTTACATCCCCGAGACGTTTTTTCCTCGGAGCGATGATTGGATATTTTTTTGTGTTTGTTTATTATGTGTTTTGTTGGGGTAACCAGTTCGTGGTATTTTAAACTCTCAAAGTAAATTATTTTTTAAGTAACCAATCATTTAGATCATGATATAGTTTGGCATAATGTAAACTCTTTGTTTAAACCGTTGATAAAGTGTGGCAAAAATTAATCTCATGTAAATTTTGTTAACTCTGCAAATTTCCACCTCATACAATATTTCTTTAATCTCACAATTTTCCCCTCAGTAATTTTATTTGTTGTGTGGGTATTGTTGGTGATTTAAAAGCGACGGTACGGTTTTCAGTTTTTATTTTGTTCTTTACTGTTCGAGGGTGTCAGGGAGAAGAAGGAAGGGTGTTTAAAATGGTACACAGGTAAGCTCGGATTTGAAGAGGTGGAAGTAGGTAAAGAAGGGTTTAGAAAGTTCCAGAAGCGAAAAGAGAAAGTATGAAGAAGTGTAGGGCAGGTAAACGAAGGATAGGAAATATTTACATTTATACAAATATTACGAATGCCCTCAGGTAGAACACCTGATTTTGTGGGAACGGTTGTTCCTACAGTACCCCCCTGCTAGTGTTTTTTTTATGAAAAACCGCTTTGCAGGCGCTCAGGGAAGCGCACCCGTCTTCCTGACCTCGTGGTCCTCGTCGTTGTGGAAGCTGGCATCTCGTCGTCGTCGTGGGGTTGATCTGCGAAGGGCGCTGGTTCGTCTGTTGTGGGCGTCGTCCTCGTAGTGTCGCGGCCAAACTCTGACGTGGGCGTGTCGTCACTGAGTATGTACGCGGGTTTGAGCCGGTCTATGGAAACGGTGACATCTCGACCCTTGATGTTGACGACGAACGTTTTCGCCGATCGCCTTACGACTCTGTACGGACCGTCGTATGGCTGTTGAAGCGGCTGCTTGGGACCGTCGTGGCGTACAAAAACTTGTTCGGACGTGGCGAGATCTTTAAAAATGAAGGTCTTCTTTGTTCCATGTCGTGTTCCCTCACATGGCTTCAAGTTACGCACGTGTTGACGTAACTCTTTGACGAAGTTTGGGGTGCTGTTGTCTGCGCTGTTTTCGTCGCGTGGGATGCCTAGGAATTCACCGGGCAGGCGGAGAGGTTGGCCATATACGAGCTCCGCGGAGGAACCCTGGAAGTCTTCTTTCCATGCCGCTCGAATGCCGAGCATGACGGTGGATAGGGCTTCAGTCCAGCGATTATTCTGGTGGCACATGATTGCCGCTTTTAACTGTCGGTGTAGGCGTTCAACCATTCCGTTGGCTGAGGGGTGGTAGGCTGTAGTTCTCAAATGAGTGGTTCCTAATAAACAATTTAGTTGTTTAAATAGGTACGACTCGAATTGTCTACCTTGGTCGGTGGTTATTCGTAGCGGGGTGCCGAATCGTGCGATCCATGTGTCGTAAAAAGCTCGTGCCACGGTTGCTGCTTCCTGGTCGCTAATGGGTACGGCTTCTGGCCAGCGGGTGTACCGATCTACCATGGTAAGGCAGTAACGATAACCCTCTGAGTGTGGCATAATTACTATGTCCAAGTGCACGTGCTCAAACCTCGCTGATGGTGGCGAGAATGTACCGATGGGCGAAGAGACATGGCGTGAGATTTTCGAACGCTGACACTCTACGCAGTTGCGGGCCCATTCTCGACAATCTGATTTGACCGATGGCCAGACGTAACGTTGCGTCACCAGTTTTACGGTGGCTTTAACGCCTGGATGGGATAGACGATGAATCGACTCGAATGCAGCTCGGCGAAATGACTCGGTGACGTAAGGACGCGCTGTTCGCGTGGAGACGTCGCAGAGTACCGATACGTCGCAGCCTGGGATTCGTACCAGTTTGAGCTGCAGGCCTGTATTACCTGTTCGAAATCTCTCGAGTTCCTCATCCTGCTGTTGTGCTGCTGCCAGAGCCTGGAAATCAGTCGAGGTTTCCACGGCCTCGATGCGAGAAAGAGCATCTGCGACACATTTTCGTTCCCTGCTATGTGGCGAATGTCAGTCGTGAATTGACTGATGAAGTGCAGGTGTCGTATTTGGCGGGGCGAGGACTCGGTATTCTTCTTCTGAAAGGCGTACGTGATCGGCTTGTGGTCTGTGTAGATGGTGAAAGACCGCGCTTCTACCATATGCCTAAAATGTTTGACTGCGAGATAAATGGCTAGTAGTTCTCGATCATAAGCCCCGTAGTTTGACTCGGTGGGACTCAGTTTTTTGGAAAAGAAGTCCAACGGTTGCCAGTGACCGTCAACCTTCTGCTGGAGGACTGCTCCGACGGCGAAATCTGACGCGTCCGAAAAAATAGCCAATGGTGCGTTTGGCTCGGGATGTGCCAATAATGTGGCTCCGGCGAGGCTCTCCTTGCACGCCTCGAATGCGGCCACCGTTGCTGGTGTCCAGTTGACCGGGGTTTTTCCTTTGACGTTGCCCTGGAGGAGGTCGTTCAAAGGTGCTTGAGTCTCTGCCGCCTTAGGTAGGAATCTTCTGAAAAAATTCAACATACCCAAGAACTGACGCAACTTTTTTATTGTATTTGGCTGCGGGAAGCTGCGGATTGCTTCGACCTTTTCTGGAAGTGGACGTGTACCAGCGCCGGAAACGAGATATCCTAAAAATTTGACCTCTGGCTGGCCGAAGACGCATTTCATGGGATTGATAACGACGCCGTACTCTCTCAAACGCTGAAACACAGTTTCCAAGTGCTGGAGGTGTTCTTCTGGTGATGCGGATGCGACGAGGATGTCGTCGATGTATGCATAGCAAAAATCGAGACCCTGCAACACCTCGTCCATGAATCGCTGGAACGTCTGCGCTGCGTTACGTAAGCCGAACGTCATGAATTGAAATTCAAACAAGCCGAATGGGGTGGTAATGGCAGTCTTCGGAACGTCTTCTTCTGCGACCGGGATCTGGTTGAATGCGCGTACCAGATCGATCGTTGAAAATATGATTTTGCCGTGTAAGGATTGCGCAAAATCTTGGATGTGCCTCACCGGGTACCTGTCGGGGCAGGTTCTCGCGTTGAGGGCACGATAATCTCCGCATGGCCTCCATTCGTCGCCCTTTTTGGGCACCATGTGAAGCGGTGAAGACCATGAACTTTGGGAAGGGCGGGCGATTCCTAGCTGGACCATGGCGTCGAATTCTTTTCTTGCTGCCTGGAGTCGGTCGGGCGCGAGTCTTCGGGGACGTTGCGCAATGGGAGGGCCCGGCGTGGTTACGATGTGGTGGCGGGTGGAATGTTTCACCGCCTTAGGGGTTCCGTCTGGACGTGTGACATCGGGAAACCGTTGGAGGAGTTCGTGGAACGGTGAACTTCCGGCGATGGTTTTTACGGACGGGATCTCACACTCAGTCACCTCTCCGATGGAAGTGAGTTGGGTAATTTGATCGTGTAGTCGCTGGTTTCTTATGTCCACCAGGAGTCCGTAGTGAGCCAGGAAGTCGGCTCCGATAATGGGTTTCACCACGTCCGCGACAACAAATCTCCACGTAAAATCGCGTCGTAAGCCTAAATTCAACGACAACGTGATTGTTCCGTACGTTGCGATGACGGTGCCGTTTGCCGCGGAAAGTTCATATGCGGACTTCGTACGCGGTTTTGGTAGCAGGGCATGCGGGAACACACACAGATCGGCGCCGGTGTCGATGAGGAATTTTTTACCTGTTGTCCTCTCGGTGACGAATAAACGGCTCGATGTTGTTGTAGGGGTGGTTGGGCAGGCGTCAATGGCCGTCTTTAACGACTGCCCTCGGCGTTTCCCGCCGGTAGGGAACTATACCTACACGGCTTGTCGCATCTTCTTGATGTGTCGCCGAAACGCCAGTGGTAATAGCAAATACCGCTGTCGCCTTTCGTTCGATGACGGGATCCCGATTGCGAACGCGAACGCGACGATGTCTCTTGCCGCGAGTCTGAGGGCGAACGGTTCTGGGGCTGCGATACCTGGGGGACTTCTATTTCAGCCAGCCTCTGTAGGAGGACCGCCACGGTGTCTTCCATCCAGGTTAATTTTTCCAACTCGGCTGATGACAGGGGCGCGGGTGAATTCGCGTTTGACGCCATAGTTTTTATTTCACTCGAAATTCCGCACAATACTCGTCGCGATCACTGGTAATACTCACGTTTTTTTCTTCTTTCAATCACGTCGGGGTCACCAGTTGTGGGTATTGTTGGTGATTTAAAAGCGACGGTACGGTTTTCAGTTTTTATTTTGTTCTTTACTGTTCGAGGGTGTCAGGGAGAAGAAGGAAGGGTGTTTAAAATGGTACACAGGTAAGCTCGGATTTGAAGAGGTGGAAGTAGGTAAAGAAGGGTTTAGAAAGTTCCAGAAGCGAAAAGAGAAAGTATGAAGAAGTGTAGGGCAGGTAAACGAAGGATAGGAAATATTTACATTTATACAAATATTACGAATGCCCTCAGGTAGAACACCTGATTTTGTGGGAACGGTTGTTCCTACAGTTGTATGTATAATTTTAATGGAACGTAAATTCCATGTTCTACAGTTTTAACCTCACATAATGTTTCTATTTGTACAAGTTTATTTCACACCAGATCTTTTGTAGTATAAATCCTTGCTAAGTTTTGTTTTGTGAATACTTTGTTGATGAATGTTTCTATCGTAGGTATAAATTATTTGATGTCCAACTTTAATCTCACATAAGAATTATTTGTTGTTTGAAATTTCACAAGGTTGTATGGCGAATCTAAATGGTGTTTATTGCCCTTTGAAACTTTAACACTTGTTCAGTTGTTGTTAACATCAGAGCTAGAGGAGATTGAATATTTTAAAATGGAATTGAGGTTAAATAACACAGAAAACGTGGCAGAAGCGAGGTTCGGTTCCTAGTCGAGCTGGCGAGATTTATCGTGCCACCTGTACAAGTCCACAGGTTTGGATAGATTCAGGGGCGGCCGCCGACGTTGTAAATTTCTCGGCTTCTGTACATAGCTTAGATCTCTTGCGGGTTGGACGACCGTAATGGCCTAGTTCCGCAGGGCACGTTCGTAATGGAGATATGCGTGTGGGGTAGGCTTTGCGATAGATAGAATCACCGTCGTGGGGGGAGAACAGTTCCAGACCGGTAGCCCAGACTCCGCTTATGCTACAACGCTCCAGGGGTACTTTTGTTGTGCTCCTGTTAACTGCCGTAACTTAAAAGGGAAAAAGAGATCGGCCGCCACACGCCTGTAATAACTTGTGTATTTGCATCCAGTTACTTGATTCAGCTTTTGCTTTGTTTTTAGTAAATTTGTGATATTCAAATATTTGCATTGATTCCAAACAGATGTATAGAATTTTCTGTTTATTCGTTTTTCATAGGTGTATGTCTGTCAATTCGCGAGTGTTGTCTTTCATATATCTTAAGGTGTTTGAAATGTAATATGTCCGGGAATAAAACCAAAGGGGGTTTTTGCGCTGAGGGGTAAATCTTCGCAGCGTCTTTCCTCCTGTGAGGGGGGTGCCGTATTCCCCCCTCCAAAACAATTTTGTCTATTATTTCTTGCGCTCTCAACTCACATGCAGTACATGCTCACTTGTATGAAAGAACGTCTTCCCGCCATTTTTCAAAAACAAAAAAAAACAACGTAGGTTCTCATTTGTTAGACGATCACAGCCAAGGCCAAACTTTGATTTTTTTTAATTTTTCACGGGCCTTTCAAATTTTTTCAAGGTTAAATTTTAGAGGCGGGAAGTTTGGGTTATCACAACGTGTTAAATCAAATTCTTTTTCCTTAGCTCTAGAACCGTCGAAGAACATCTTTTCAACAAGATAATGCGTGGCCTCATGTGGCCATATTAACTTAAAGAGTGTTCGAGGAAAATAACGTCAACTTGTTACCCTGGCCTGCCCGATTACCTGATTTATCAACAATCGAACATGTATAGGATGTAATGCATAGAAGGCTGCGCAATTTACCCCATCCTCCAAAGACTTTGGAAGAATTGCTACAACAAATTCAAAATGCCTGGAATGCGATACCCCGACAGGCAATAGATTATCTCATTTTAAGCATGCCTAGAAGAATACAGTCTTGTATTGGCGCACGTGGAATTTTAACACATTATTAACATTTCTTGTGTTAGACATTTTATTTTTTCCTTGAAATTTTAATGAAATATTTGTCTATATGCAATAGTCTTCTCCACCAAATGTCAGCATTCTACGCCTACTCCTTCTAGGTGGTGCATTTTATTTGAAACGCAGTGTTTATGCGACAATTTTGTCACAGTTTTGTTGCGTATTCTACGCAAACATTTAGTGCGTTTATGGCTTCACACCAATTTAACTCCCAATTCCAATATAATTCATTTGTTAGGCCGGCACAGCTGGATGTCTTAAGTCCGCTTACTCATACCTACCTGAAAAACCTATAAAAGCACAGAGCAGTATTGAGTTTTGCATTTACCCACATTTTTTTATGTGAAAACGTCTATTCGCTCGTGCATACAGCGATGGATAGCAAGTTAAACTTTCTTGTGTCATAAAATATCGTCAGATTTTAATCGCTAATACCTATGAAACTAAAAATGCCAAGAAACGTTAAAAACAAAATTCCTTTTAGTCCGGCCATTTGCGTCCTGGCCGTTCGTGGCATTTGCTAAATTTTATGAAGGGTCGGCCAAAATACGAAACGTCAAAGCCATAAACGCACAATAAGTTTGAGTAAAGTACACTTATTTTAGATCCATAATAGTTTTCATTGTTGTGTAAAAGAAAAAAAAATTCTGGGAAAATAGAGAGAGCCGTTCCTGATTTAATCAATAAAATAAATTGCCTCTTTCATTAATTTTTTTGAGCCACCTGTTGAAGCAAATTTTAAAAATGTGAATGCAATGATAAATCACAAGTCTCATTATTAATACAATTAATAATAATAATAATAATAATAATAATAATAATAATTCTCATTGGTGCGCACATATTTCAGTAGCATTTAAAGTCTTCACGTCGGAAGTTAAGATCACAAGTGAAAACTCGGCACGGAATCACACACCACAGGTACAGGAAAAACTTAGTTTATAAAATTTAAAAATTAATACTATTATAAATTTTGAAGATGACGTCATCCCATTGATGGTGGGGATGATTAGCATATGTATTTTAGGTAGCGTTTAACCATCTACATGATATTCCTAATATACATACACACAAAATTTGACAACAATCGGTTCGGTAGTTTCGGAGATTACGTGTCTAATAAAAATGGATAGACACCAGACAGACAGACGGCCAGACAGATGGAAACGGGGGACCACTTTTTTCGTATTCTAAAGGTCATAACACGTCGAAGAAATATGAAAGTGGCAATTCGCCCGACCGACTCGATTACTATGATTCCTTAACTTACGCTCGAGAAGTAAAAAGTGTTAACTGAATTTTGAAAATCGATTCAAAAGATGCTTAGGTAAATTTCATGATTCAGAGCTTTCGTTTTCAATCTAGTTAAAATTTTACGAAAATTTGTATTCTCAAAAAATATATCAACCAATACCTTGTAATAGGAGTAGTTCGTAATTTTTGTGTGACCTCCGGTCCTCCGATTTGCATAATTATGTACTGTGTCTACATTTAAAAAAAGCATGCTTACTGTGTCTTAGGTATATTTTATTTACAACTTCACTATAAAACTAATTTTGAGTACATTTTGAACTAATATGTGCTGTAAGGTGGGTTACCGTATTCGTTATAGAAGTCATCCCAGAACTGCATGTTGGATTTTTCTGGAGATTGCGTCGGAACCAAATGTTCTCCAATATCTAAATAATTCAAACTGTTACCAAGGGTTTCCCAAATAATATTTTCTAATCTGGAATCTTGGCTTGGAGTTGGATTTCTAAAAAGATAATTTCAAATACGGTTGGAATTGTTGTCTAATTAATTAGATTTACCCGTATTTAATAAAGTTGGTCCACAAGGTTACCATTCTGGTTCTCACAGTGAGATCATGTTCGCGCAGTGGGTCATGTTTGCTTACCCAGTAGTACCCTAGCTCTTCGCTGTGAGTCACACCTGATAAATACGTATTATAAAATAAATCTAAGCTTATCTACAGTTAATTACCAGCTATAGTCCTATTATGATAACCCCATAATCCACCTTCGTACGAAAATCGGTAAAGATATACAGGAACGTGCCTTTGAGCCAAACGAGCAAATTCCCTAATCGATCTTACGAATTGATCGTCGCTCAAAAACTGAAGGAGAATTTCATTTTAGAAGTAACAGTAAGATGTAAAACACAATAACTACTCTCATCAACTCCATATTTGAAAGACTGACTGGGATCCATCCAAAATAGTAACTCTTAAGCTTCTTAGCGGCCGCTGCTGCTTTGCTGCTGTCAACATTCATATCGGCTGGTAGCAGTTTCTCTGGATTAAGGTCGTACTGGACGAGATAGAGACGGAAAAGTACTACAAGTAATTTGGACAATAACTGAAGGAAACGAACAAATAAAATACGTTACATTCAAAATTGTAAGTTCCCTCCAGAGAATTGAAACCCAAAAGAATAGGTACTTTAGTAAATTGACCGCCCTCTAGTATCTCGTGACTTCGTCCACTGATGAACGCATCTGGATGATCTGGTTCGATAACAGGACCTATCGCAAATCCTTCTCTGGGATTATTAGCAAGGTATACCTATAAATTGTACATGTAGTTTTTTCCCTTCCAATTATAACCAACCGAGATCAGTATTAAACCAACGACATATTTAACGCTGTATACATACACTTGTTATTGTTGAAGAAGCCGAGCTTTGAAGATAATCAACCTCCAGTTCTTTTAAACCGTCAACTATAGCTCGAGTAGTAGAGTTATCGATACCCAGATCCACAGCTACTTGATTCAAAATCTGAGGAACTCTGCGGCTGAGTCCCCACAAGCTCAAAGACACACCCGATTGCATTATAACTCGATTAAAAAGTCCTGCAAGAGCAAATCAACAACACTGTTTTACAATAAAAAATAGTCACCTTGTGACTGTGGTGACTGAATATGATAAGCTACAGAAGCAGAACCCGCGCTTTGTCCGGCGAGAGTAATTTGATTTGGATCTCCGCAAAAACGATCGATATTATCTTTAACCCACTTCAGAGCCAAAACTTGATCTTTTAGACCATTATTTCCCGGAACCACGTTATCGCCGGTGCTCAAAAAACCCAAAAATCCCAACCTGTAGTTAAGTGATACCACAATAACGTTCTTTTCTAAAAGAAAGTCTGGCCCGTAGTTATCATAAGTAGAATCTCCTCCTTCGAAACCGCCGCCATAAATCCATACCATTGTAGGTAAAAGTTCACACGAATCCGATGGTTGCTGGTATCAAAAATTATCACACTGTTTCGCAGAAACTATAAACTACTTACGGTTGGTGTATACACATTGATAAACAAACAATCTTCTTCTCCAACAACAGGATCTGAGCCTTGTATACAGTGAGCTCTGTCTTCGGTGGCATCTAAGACACCATCCCAGTTACCTTTGGCAACAGGAGGCTGAAATGTACAGATTTCGATAAGCACATTTTTGCATGTCCTATCCAAAATTTTACCTCAAATCTACGATTTCCAATTGGAGGCTCTGCATATGGAATTCCTCTAAATGAATAGTACGGAACTTTTAATTCTAGAGTTGTACTTTGACGACCTTGTACTGCTCCATTCTTTATTTGTACAACGAGGTCGCTCTGGAACTGTGAATAGCTTTTTTACATTTTGTAAATTAAATAGCACAGAATCTTACCACACTTGCACAGTTTGCCAAGCTGATAATGACAGTACAAATAAACAAGTACTTTAATACCAACATTTTTCAAGCTATTCACTAGCAACTGTACACTTATTTAAAGAAGATGTTGTCCTTTTATAGCAATGCATGAATCAAAATTTATGACCAACTAGATAGTAATAAAGAGATAAAACCTTTCAAACGCGTAAATTTATGAAAACTATGAAATTGTCATTTTATTGCAGAATTTTCTTTCGATTTTTATAATTTATAACTAATAAAGAACGTCACTTTAGATTAAGACAGCGGTGACAATACCTTTTTTCTGAAAAATACTATGATTTGTACAAATTTCCGTCTATTTTTCATTGTTATACACTCGTGATTACTCATGGATTAAAAAATATGCATTTTTGAAATTCAACAAATGTACCAAATAATTCCAAACTATTAATATATTCTTATCATCATATTCCATGAGCATCAATAACACAAAGGGTTGTGTACATACCTCATTTTGTTTAATGGAAAAGTCCTTTTCCTTAACGTAACGCAATTTGTTGCGTGATTATTATAGGTAATTGGCTACACGTGCAATAATATTTCTTACTAAGTAGTTTTTGAATCTGTCAAATAAATAAAATAACGAATTTTGTCGTGTGTTTTGACGCTTTATTTGGCATCACCAAGGTGCAAGAAGTGAGAAAGTTTAATTAGATAACAGAAATTATGACTCGAGATTAAATCACAGACTTAGATTTGTTCCGAGCCATCTCTAAATTTTCATTGTATTAAAAACAATCCATTTCATTTCCCTGAAATGGTATGGAACAAAGTAATAACATTTTATAGTATTTGCATTAGGTACATATAAAAAATAAAATATTTATCCTTTGGAAAACTTAATAAATACATTTTTATTGAAAAACACGTTGTAACATGCACGTAAAATTTATTGTGGTTCAGAGACAACGGTGTTCTGTCCAAACAGTTTTAGATCAATTTTTTGACCTACTGAAATAGACAACGTCTGTACTCATAGTACTTATAGGTACAACATGAAAGTACGTAAATACCTATCCAAAATTAATAAAATACCATAAATTCTCTTGGCAAAATTGCATTAAAAATAAAAGTACAAACACTGACAATTTCAGAAAAAAATCTTCTTCGACTTGCAGCTCTATGTTAGTAGTAAATGGCTACTTCTACGTGCAGAAGTTATTAGGACGACTTTCGAGATACTTTATTTAAAAGTTTTAGTCAAAAATGAACATACACAGAGAAAAGTGCAGAGCGTATTCTGCGGACAGTCAACAGACTGACAATAAAAAATTATGGGATGTTATACTGTGTGGTATTTAGTGTCATAAAACTGTTTTCAGTTTAATTTATCTTTGCTAAATGTAATAATTATTTTATGATGTTATTAAATGTCATAATATGAACAATAACAGAAGATAGAACATCAATCCATGGTATAGGGTGTAATAAAACATTTATCTGTTATAATAATCTAGACTATTTCAACCGATTTATATTGTATATATTTCTTACTTATTTACGCACTCGATAAATCCAAAGTTTAATTACATTTACACTGCTTTTGCACGTGATATGCATATATACATATGTGTATACACCGTGGTGTATACATGTAGCCAACAGGGAACTAATTATTTAAACAGTTTTTTAACTATCCGGGCAGTTACATTAGGCAGTTAATAAGTCGTATGGGCAGTATTGTAACAGAGTCAATCTGTCGAATAATAATAATAGTAGTTAGTAATAGTTTTTTCTGTGATTAGGATTCCAACAAAAATTTTTAACAAGTCCACTTTTTTACGGAAATTATGAAGTTCGTTGTGTACGTCCTATGTAAAAAATCATTCTTCCAATTTTATTTTTGACGATATCCCGAATGCGCAAAATGACAAATAGTGATATATTATTTAACCACAAATAACGGGGCAATGTAAATTTCAAATGCAGTTCAAATTTTTGAGCTGACGTCATGACATTTTTGATGAAAATGAATAGACAAGTTTTGGTTAGTATTTCATCTTTTACACAATGTTTTCAAAGCATACATACATATACAATTTAATAATAATATGTATATTAGTAATCAGTTAGTAGTCTCGGAGGTTATTACCAAACAATGGTGAGATTTAATCGCCTTATAATCATAAAATTTTATCGATACCATATATCATTAAGGAAGTGCGGTTTGTGACCATAAAATTTAATAACCTTCATATTTCCTCACAAATGCGTATGTTGTACATAAAAAAAATCTTTTTTTCTTATAATAGTTTGGATATCAGCCGTTTTTCAGTTACTTATTATAACTTAACTTGGTACATTTTTAGTTAAAACTATACTTGATGACTTGATTGAGTATTGTGGTCGGACACCGTGATCGGACCATAGATTAATTCTATGGATCAAATACACGTCATAGAAATCCCAACGAATCATATGTTACCATAAAATTTGTTTAATCAAATTATATGATTTATATAAAACTATAGGTATACGTGTCCATTCGAGAGAAATACTTCCAAGATCATAATACTAAACACGGTATAAAATCAAAATCAGAATTCTCTGGAGAGTTACTCTCAAGTGGACACGTATTTAGCTTTAAGAACCTGGATTTCTTTGATTATGTTGTTCTTAGGGAAACTTAGTTTCATATGATTTCTATTCTATAACTATAGAAGCATATTTGATTATCACTTTCTAACTTCTAATATTTGAAATGTTATTTTACTGTTCACTGTTTTCTTTAGTTTTTCTTTTTCAATTTTCTTCTAATAAGAGACTTTTAAGATGTTATTGTTACTGTATGTTGTTACTTGAATCATTGTATCTAAAAAAAACATGTCTTTCATCGATATCTCTAACTAGCAGTGGAGCAAATGCAGTTGGTACCGCAAAAAATTCCACTGCTTTGGAACCAAATTTTGTTAGCAGAGAGTTGACAGCACGTAAATGATTGTTGTCACGTGGTCATGGTGTACACGTTATCTTGTTCGACGATGACAGCCAAGTTCAAATTTTTGAATTTTTGAAATGTTCGCGGGCTTTTCAATTTTTTTTCACATGTCATTTTTAAGGCGGGATGTTTGAGTTAACACAATGTAGTTCGCAGAATTAAATTTTATCATTTTTCGAAGAATCTGCATTTGTTTGCCAGTACTTCAAGCGCGAGGGAAGTTCTGTCTAAATAACTTTAGATCATTTTTTTGCACTGTGTTTCGGTGGCCTACTAAGATCTGCGCTGCCTACTAGTTTTAAAACGTATTCATGCGTTTTGAAATTAATATAACATAATATGTATGTATATAAAAATGCACTAAAAATATTGTATTCCCCCTTCAATTTCAAAAATTCACTTTCAAATTGGGCGCCAGTTTTAGTTCCGTATCCTACTGCTAGGGCATGACGTTTGAATCACCTGCGTTCTGTTCTGTGACTACTGCTATTCTTTGCCACAGTAGTCTTTGCTCTATCTACTGATCTGATTGTAAACACTCTAAAAATCAATGACCACAGAATATAACCAAAAACATTTATTATTAAAGATTCAGAGATTCTGTCCTTGAAAGAATAATCTATCACAGACTACCCCCCCATTCTACCCCCCTGTTAATTCTTGATAGAGGATATTCAATGGTAATAATGGTATATTTTGTGCATTTTCTTGGTTAAGTGCAACGTAACCTGAAGTACATTTTCGATGCGGTTTTATTGTTTTAAAAAATAAATATAAGTACTTACAATGGACGTAGATTTAACTGACGAAGATTATGTCATCCAACGAGCGAAAGCTGCCCTGAAAAGCAACCCTTTATCAGCAAAAGCATGGATGATCACTGCTAAAACTCTTTATCCAAATAATTTTGGAGTACAGGTGGGTTATACATTATTATTAGAACGTCAAAATCGATAACTGTTAAATTAAAATTGCAGTTCGAAGCATATTGCATTGAGAAAAATGCAGGGCATGTTAAAGAAGCTGCCAAGTGTTTTAGTGATTTGTGAGTAGTAATGCTTGTGCCAATATCGTTTTACGCTTAAATTTTATTAGAATTGGAAAATTTCAACAACAGCCTGAATTGTGGAAAGAAATTGAAAATGTTACTTTAGCTTTAAGAGCGGAGAGCGATACTAATGATCCAGAAAAACAGTTCCTGTGTGAAATGTTCAAACATATTTCTCCAGGTTCTTTAAAACTACATCTAGGAGTTTTAAGATTGATTAGTAATTTTTAGATGTTCAGCACAAGTTACTATTATGTACAGCAGACCATTGTGAAGACACAATGGAACATTGTCGTTTACTTTTACTGCTTTTACAGAGGTTTCCCACTGCAATATCAAGTTACGGGGTATTTTTTTCACAACATGAATGACCTAATTTAATAATAATTTTTTAGTCTCGACTAGTTGACACTCTCATCAGTGCAGAGAAACACAGTCATGATGGAAACTTCCCCCTAAATGCATACAGAAAATTGCTAGTTTGTGAACTGCTGCCACTTTTAGCAACTGAAAATGCTAAAGTGGACTTATCATCTAAATTGTTGCAAAAATTGCTATATAAAGCTGTCGAATTTTATTCTTGTTCACTAGGTCTCACACCTGGTGTATCACCAGATCCAGAATCTAAAGTTGAAGATCCATGGCAAAAATTATTTGCTGTTATCGAATTTATTGGGAAGCAATTAGAGTGGGAACATTATTTAGTCAATTTTGGCAGTAACTGGTAAACAATTTCATTCAAACCACAGATTGTTTTAGTATTTTATTTTAGGACAAAAGAGAGTTACTGGCAAAAAATTGTCACTTACTGCCAAGCTAGAATAAATAATCTTGATGATAAGCAATTGCTATTCTGTTCTTCTATTTTCTTTCTTCATTGTTTGCATGAGTATTCAGTGAGCCTCACTCCCGAATCAAGCCCAGGACAACAGCAAAATACTTTTGTTTTAGTAGAAGCTTTTGTCGGTAATTTCAAATAGCACAGTGTTGCTGTTACTATATATTTATAAGATTCTAGTTTACCAAATCCTGCTACTGAACCCAAAAGTAAGAAGCGGAAAAGCGACGATTATTTATATCCATATATATCAGTGGAAAAGCCAGAATTGAAAAATATTCACAGCAACTTCCTTATGGTTGTGAATTGTTGGGACCTGTTTCAGTCTTCTGAGCATTTTCAGAGAGGTTTGTTAGTTGAGGTTGTTACGAATTTTTTTAAATTGCATTTTTTTTTTTAAGAATTTTTCATGTTGAACAGTTTTTTGAAATTGGAATCATGTTTTACAAATTTTCTAATTGATTATGCTATTTATAAAGGAAAATATGATGATGCTTTGGTTTATCTACAGAAAATCAGTGACAGCAATATGCTTTTAAATAAATACATAAACATTGCGGGAATTCTATATTTCAAAAAAAATTACAAAGTATGGGTAGATTATAAGCTTTGAATATTCTTTCATATAATTTTGTTGTAGTCATGTTTCGAACATATCTTACTTGCAATTCCGTTATTACCAAGTGGTATTGTTGGTAGTTTAAGTAGTGCCTTAAGTGTGGGCGGCAATCAACGACATTTACATTATTTACCTTTAACATATACAGCTATTCTTCAGTACTTTGTTAAATTGCTGTTAAGATGTACAAAGGTAACGTTATTATGAAAAGTAAGCGTGAAAATCACAAAATGCAACTGTTTGTAGGAAAATATGGCCAAGCATAACTACAGTGAATTAGCCATAGGTCATATTTTAACATTGGTACAATTAGATTGGCCACAAGAAGAAGAATTTGTACCTCCTTTGATGAACCAAATTCAACAACACGGATCGTTCAATTACATATTATTCCAAGTAAGTGGTGAAAAAATTTATGTCATTATAGTTAGTATAGGTACATGTACACATTTTTCCTAAGAACTACATAATTAATGTTGACATACTGGAAGAAATAACGTACTTGTGGACAAATCAAGGTGGGCAGATTACTTTAGACATTATTCCTCACATGGGGTAAATGAATGTAGAGAATTTGTGTACAAAATTTTGTAAAACAAAATTTTTAGACAAAGGAGAATAGGAACTAGAGGAGCAGATAAAGGTGCCAAAGAAGAAATAAAGCAAATTATTAGGCGTCAGGTAGCCAGAAGTAATGAGAATATTAGCGAACTGCTGATAAGATTCATCACGCATGAAAGGGAGTTAATTTTTCAGAGTTTAATGTAATACTTGTCAACTTTGTAATTCACAATTTGAAATTTTCTTGAATATAATAAATCATTTTTTAAAGCGTGGACATTTTTCGGCTGTTATGAACGTACAACAATTGGGAAGATTAGTTGGGTACATTTTTAGCGCCAAGTATCATAACCTCAAAAACAACCCGCTAACGCAAAACATAACCTATTTAATCTAAAATCCAATATTGTGAGCCGCGGGGAGGTCGTATGGCTAGTTATTTATAAATTTTATTTTTGTAAAAATACGTGAAGATAAAAATACTGTTTCTTTGCGATGAGCACGTGTTTTAAAAACATATGGTTTAATTCATGATAATAGAAAAGTTAATGAAAAATGAAGAATTGGGATGTTTTCGGTATTTTCCTTGTAGTGCGACTAATTTCTGTGGTCTTTGTGCAGACTTTTTTCGTACCTGACGAATATTGGCAATCCTTGGAAGTTGCACATAATATTAGTTTCGGATATGGCTACTTGACATGGGAATGGAAAGCAGGAATAAGAAGCTACATTTATCCACTAATATTTAGTGCTTTATACACAATATTGAAGCTTATTCAATTGGATGATCCAATTTTTTTAGTAAAGTAATACTACACTTTATGGTGTAAGAATATTTAAATTGCATTTGCAGATATATGGACCTCGGTTATTACAAGCCATTTTAAGTGCCTATGCCGATTTGTGTTTTTATCGTTGGTCAGGTACAAGAAAATGGGCCGTGTTTAGCATTGCCACTTCTTGGTTTTGGTATTATATGGGCTCCCGGACGCTAATTAACAGTTTTGAAACTGCACTTAGTACAATTGCGCTTTCACAGTTTCCTTGGTTGGGCAAAGAAAAAGGTAAGTTATTTGAATTTGTATGATCTGAAACACATGTATTTAACAGAAATTCAATAATAATAGTAATATTCTGATGAATAATTGTAGACACTGTCATAAACGAAAATCACACCGTTATGAACGGTCTGCAGAAGTTACTATTTATAACATTCAAACATCTATTGTTTATCAAGTAAACGCATTTTTCAATAAAATAGTACCTATATTATTGTATGAGCAATGTGTTAACTATTATTCGTGAGAATAAGGTTTGCGGGAAGAGCTGCAGACGAGTGAAGCAAATCATCCAAATGAATAATGACCATAATTGCGAATGTTACAATAACTAATACATTGAATTTCATAGCATTTTTATTATATCAAATCCAGAAATAATACAATAATTATTTCTACTACAACAAATACTTCAAATTGTCTTGCATAAATCGTTCTTACAGTTAACTTCGCTGCGAAATATTAATTGATATTCACGATCTACAAATATGGGTAGCATTACTAATAGAAAAAGTTGCAATAATGCAAATATTACTAAGTAGGAGTAAAAAAACGTTTGTCAATTTGTTTAAATTTATTAATATTGTTTTTTATTATTTTTAAAAAACATAACACATTGTGTCTTAGAACACATGATGGTAGAGTGGTAGGTGTTTTTTATTGATCAAATTTTTTTTAGAAAACTTCAGAAAAAACATCTAGTGTTAAAATTGTGTCACTCTGGAGAAGATATAATAAATGATTAATTATTGTTGCAGATGAAAGTTTAAAATTCATATGGATCGTTGCCGCAGTGTCCGTAATAAGACCAACTGCCGCTATACTGTGGCTGCCCCTGTGCTTCTACCATTTATTTATTACCAAATACAAAAAATCTTCACTTATAATATCAAGGTACATACCCATCGCCTTGATAATATTGTCATTGTCCGTTTTACTAGATAGTCTAGCACACGGTTCCTTCATTGTAACTCCATATGAGTTCCTTAAATTCAACGTACTAAAAGATGTGGGGTCATGGTACGGTTCGCAGCCTTGGTTTTGGTATTTATCTGTGGGGTTCCCAGCAGTCCTCGGTATTCATTTCTTACCGTTTGTGTTAGCAACTCTGGTGATAATTAAAAACAGGGCTTCCCACCCCAATGAGTTGGTTCTTCTGAGCTCCATTGTCTTTTCATTAACAATCTACAGTTTTTTACCACATAAGGAGTTCAGGTTTTTATTACCTTTACTTCCCATTGCTCTGTACGTGTCTTCAAGATTTCTGTCTGCTTGGAGTCGTAAAGCCAACACGTGGAGGCTGTGGTCGGTGGCTCTAATTTTGTTTTTGGGAAATTTGGGACCCGCGTACTATTTAGGGTACGTCCATCAACGCGGTACTCTGGATGTTATGGAACCCTTGAGAGAGATCGCGTCTAGAAATCCGAACAGTAGCAGTTTTTTGTTTTTAATGCCTTGCCATTCAACGCCGTTATTTAGGTAAAATGATGCCACTTTTGTTTAAAAGGGGAAGTTCACTCCCATTTGGAAACCACGCATTTGGAAATTTAAAAAAAAGTTTGACCCTTTCTTCGTGGAAGTAGGTCAAGAAGTAAGTTTTCCCTGCTAAATTTTCGTAGTTTTTCTAAAGCTGTGTATAGCTTTTTATTTATTTATTTATTTATTTAAAGAGGGCACTGTGTGGTTGGCTCAAAATTTGCGGCATTTTTTTAAGGAAAAAAATCCTACGGCTAAATATAGAAATAGAAATTTTCTGTTCAAACTATTTTCATATTTGTTACTCAGCCTCTGACCGGTGAAGTGTTTTTCTTTTCTTTTTTTCTGAAGATGTATAAATAAATAAATAAATAAAACTATCTTCACGTATCGAAATTAATCAAGAAAAAAAATAACGAAAACAATAGGTAGTTTTTCGCCTATCTTGCCCAATACAAAAAGTTAGATGAAAGAGGACAGCTGCTTTTTTTTTCCAATGTGTAACGTTGTTTCCAATGCGAGTAAATTTCTCCACGAAGTATTAAAATTAATGACGTAATTTTTAGCCACCTACACGTAAATGTATCTGCTAGGTTTTTAACGTGTGAACCAAATTTTAACAACTCTGATAATAGTTATACAGACGAAGCTGATCAGTTTTATAACAATCCAAATATTTGGTTACGCAAAAATTACCCACCGAATGGAACACAGCCGTCGCACATAATTTGTTTCGATGTTTTAAAACCAGTAATCAGTGATATAATGAGCAGGTAGGTAACATGTATATAATATAAGTATGTTTGCATCTAAACGTTTTTATGATTTTAAGATACAAAACTACCCATGAAATTCCCCATTCTAGTTTTGCAACGGCAAGAGTTGGTTACAACGTTTTGATCAATGAACGAATGGGAAACTAGAATCCAATTTGTGACAACAAATAAAGTTTGTTTTCTATTGCTCAATGTATTTTAGTTATTTATTCACTGCCAAGATTATAAAAAATATAATGAATTGTATTTAAAAACCCAAACTTGTTAATACATTTAGTAAAAATGTTTTTCTTCTCTCTTCATTTTTTCTCAGCGTAAATAGTTCCGGATTTGATAATAACAATAACGATTACAAGTCAAACATCATTTTAAAGTTTTATAAGAAGAGGTCAATCCGAATACATAAAAATATATAGCGTATTCCATTTCACAAAAATTCATTTGTGTGTTACGCCTTAAACACAGAACATATTGTAAAGTTGAAAATAATTTTGGTATATGGTCCTCAACGAAGTAGTACAACTTTAGTTGTAGAATTTTTTTTTCTATTTCTAAAAATTAATAAGCCATCGAGGAGCGCCCGCTTGTAAGTGTTACTCACCCTGCATATATATGTAAAGTTAAAAAAAACGCCGAGTTCTTGCTCATTTGAATTATCTTGCTGATAATGGTGGGGACACCAGTAATATGAAAAGAATTCCGACTCGAATCGTTGACGGTGTTATTCGTTTAAAGCAAATAAGTCGAGGAGTAAAGATTTTTTTTAACCTCTTTCCATTGCTACACATTTTATCGGTTTGTCGGAAATTTTATGTCTTGCTTCTTAAGTGTACAGTTCAACATCAAAAATTTGTTAGTTTTTTTTATTTGCGATAGGTAAGTACCTACCTCAATATTTTACTAAATTCTGAAGTCCCGTTTTTAAGAAAGATTGTTTCATAAAACGCCCTCAAAGTGCTGCATGATTGTTATAGGTTACTTTCCCACATAACAGTACACATTTTATATAGTTAAAAAATCATCATTTGTACAAAATGTAAAGTCTCTGTTAGATTACCTGACGCGCAAGGTTAATTAAGGGGGATATAAAACTGAATTTTTACCATGTCGAATATTGTCTTAACACTTCCAATTCGCTTATTTAAAATACTTTGTGGATTTCTTGGTGATCACAATTTCGTTTTATAATGTTCAAGGTTACTCGTGCTATTACTTTTTGATGTAAGCTGAAAAATACAGCTTCTGGGATAAAACTGATTCGGGGGGCATCTTGTGAAATTTTTCTGACAATATTGTATAGATAACTAGGTATTTGTTTCGATAATACTCGATTCCGGATACTGCAAAAATTTCCAGTCTTTACTTCCAAGACGTTTACATCATCAGCATCCTTGGTGTGATGTTGTTCTTTAGGTGCATGGTAACCGCATTGTTAATGACTTGTTTGATTTTTCAGAAAAATGAAGTACTTAATTATACTGACGTTCACTCTAAGTCTGGCCATGGCCAACGAAGTAGCACTGCAAGAATTTACCACTGGCAACAACTTGTTTACCGCAGCAGTCTACAAAGTAAGCGATTACAAAAGCCTTTATCTATTCAAGAAACTGGTTTAGGTGCTTAAGTTAAGATAAATGATTAAAGTGCCTATTAGTGAAAATCTCTCTGTCATCTTTTAAAAACGAAATATTGGATCTCGACGGTCAGTGACCAAGGACACTATTGGATAAACGCGTTCGATTTTTTCCACAAGTATATTTTATTATATATGTATATATTATTTATAGTTACATTAAATAATTACGTAACGATTATTAAAGTCAAACAAGTTAGTTTGAAAATAGTTCAAATTCTGATGCGTCTTCGGCTCGCAAATACTGTTTCTGATGAGGTCGTTCAAAGGGGCCACAAATATTCTAAAATTAATGTCGCCATGATCTAAACCTGCCAAGAGAAAATTAGACATCCTATCTGACATGATCCAAACGTTTCTGTGATTATCGATTTTGATATCTGAAGGAAATATCAGTCCAATATCGTCTTTATCGACTATGCCGATATTCGTGGCTCCGTAAACTGTCGCAGAGTTCCAACAGCCTATAGCATTGCGATCAATTAAATTAAACAGCTGAATTCCATCTTCACTCATAACTTGAGCAGTGATATGAGAATTAGGACCCCGTTTAGGAAGTACAAAAAAATCATGATAGCTGTCACCAGTTCTAGAACTGTTCCGCAATACGTTTGTAGATACACCAAACGCCCTGTAACTAGCTAACGGGCTAAAGTATAAAATTCTTTCAAAATTTGACCTCAGGGGCGATAAGGACAAGCCGAAAATCCCTTCTTCGCTCCATTGGAAATTCAAACCCCCTATGTTGAAATCACCAGCTAATGGATCCGGCATGAAATAACCGTGTGAAAATCTCCACGAAATATTATCTTGCCAAGAGTAAACGATTAAACCATATCCAAGTTCGTCACTCATGTAAGCAAAAGTATCTTCGCAGTTCCTTCCAAGGTCAACGGCTATGTTGGCAATAAATGTATTTGGATTGATGTCTTCAGGACGTAATTGATATCTTCGTATTCTTTCGTTTGTCTTTAAATCGAACACGTTGAGGGCGTACGGGCAGGAATTTTGAGTAGTGTTACCTATTCCAAGAGTGCCAGTATCTAGTACCCACAGCCTGTCACAAGAATCTGCTTTTATGCGATACACAGTCCTCAAACTCGATTCACAATTTCCCAGCGTGTTTGCGTTCCAGTTTGGGTATGGCGTAAGCGGGGGTGTTTTTGTTGCTTCTATCTGTTGTAGAGGAATGTAATTCAATGTTGACGGAATGCCTAAAACGAAGTTTCCATCTTTTAATTGACTCGATAAAAATTGTTCATATTTTTTGCTTGCAATGGACCATGTGTTTGTAATGCAGTATAATTATAACAAAAAAATATATATATACTTAACAATTTGCTAATAAAACGTTTTAAACTTTTCGGTATGTATAAATATAGTGAATCAAGTCACAAATATGGTCATTTCCTATTAAGTTCGAATAAAAAAGAGTTGGAACATACCTTCCCTCCACCGTGGAACTGTTACAAAAACTTTATCTTTCCAAATTTCAATTCCAACAGGCAAATTATTTTCAGGAATAAATTGCCTTGTGGCTATTGCATAATCTCTCTCATATTTATTAGCATAAGCATAATCCAGTGTGGACCAGCTAAATACTTCTTTCAGTTGTATTGTGCACACTACATTTTTTACGAAAATTAACAAAAGCACGCCGAAAGAGTAATAAATATAAATCTGGCGTCTCTGCATGTGTATATTATTTACAAGAAATGTTTCAAGTTTAATCGAAAACTAAACTAAGTTTAGAACAAAATTTATATTTTATAGTGCAGACGTCGTCGTAAAAGTAAAATTGAAACCAATCAGATGAGGGAAAGTAACAGTTGTGTGGAGAATTTACACGCCGTCAGCAATATTCGTAAAAAGACTTAATATTCGGTGGTACTTTGGTTTTTATTTTTAAAAAAGTATAGCGCATGTTAATTTTTGAGGCGTTTAGTGTATTTATTAACTAAAAAAGTACTTTGAGAGATTCATCCAGTTGTGTGATAAATGTGTCTCATATCATAAGATAACGTGGCTTAATTGACTATCTGTTTAATTAGATTTATGAAGGGCACATAACAGGTTCTAGTTAAAAACCGTAAGGACACTTGAACTCATTAGTCGACAAATATCCATACTATTACAAATATTACATACTTGTTGTTATCTTGGCATGCTAATTGCATATTTCAAAATAATATTTGCGTCTATTTTAACTTCAAAACAACGACTCCTTTCCATTACAACCTACACCTATGTAATTTATGGTTTCTTTTCGTCCATTAGGTACGTTTTAATTAGATTTCTTCTTCGGAGTGTTGGACATATTTATTTCACAGTTATTTAACAATGCAAAGTTTTCTCAACGTTTCGGGAACACATGTCCCCTTCGTCAGGAAATCTGTGGGACAATGGTTTAACGTTTAAGCAGTGACTATGTATTTAACTCTATACTCACTGGTTTAAGTTATAATATTAATGTCTCACAGATCTCTTGAGGAAGAGAATATGTTTGTGTTGCCGAAACATTGAGAAACTTTTGTATTGTTAAATCATTGTGAAATAAATCTGTCCAACACCCTGAAGAAGCAATTTAATTAAAACGTTTAGGCAGCTTGATTCAGAAAAAATGATAAATCGAAAAATCAATAATTGAGAAGATGAAAAATCGGAAAACGAAAAATTGAAATATTGAAAAGTTGCAAATCGAGAAATTGAAGAAAAAAAAAACTGAAAAATTTCAAAGTCGAGAACTTAAAAATCGACAGAATTAAAGATGCAAAAACGAAAATTATGAAACGAAAAATTGAAAAATTAAAGAAAATGAAAAAGCGAAAATTTTCGGGAAAATGGATTGAGTCGTTCTTGATTTAATCGATACAATAAACTGCTTCATTCATTAATTTTTTTGAGTTCCTGTATAAAAAATTCTAAAAACTATGAATGCAATTATTGGTAAAAGTATAAAGTCATAATAATTTTCATATTTCAGAGAGGATTTGTTCGGCAAAACTTTGAGATGACGTCATCAATTTTTTTTGAGGGGATAAACGAATAAATTTTGATTTACGATTTACCATGCTTACGATAACCTTAAAACGTTTGCAAGATTTCAGAGCATTAGGTTTTGCAGTTGCAAAGTTAAAACGCAAAATGTTCTTATATAATTTAGATTTTTTTTTCCAAAACTCAACACGGAGTCATACAACAAATTTACTATGTATTGTATATTCTGGAGATGACATCATCACTTTGTTGGTGGCCAATTTTTAGTTGGCGTTTTACCATCTACATCATAGTCCTAACACATTAAAAAATTGACAACAATCGGCCAAGTAGTTTCGAAGATTATCTCTGTAATAAAAATCCAGGCAGACGACAGACAGCCAGAGGGAAACGAGAGACCTATTTCTTCGTACTCTAGGGGTCATGAAAGGTCGAGAAAACACAAGAGTAGGGAGTCGGTCGATGGATTCGTTTGAAACCGTTTAAAACACTTCCTTAGCTTACGCTCGGGAAGTAAAAAACCTAAATAAAAACGATACAAAAAGCCTAGATAAAAATTTGATAATTATAAATATTTTATTGCTTGTACTCTTAAACAGATTTTCTTAGGTATTATTAAACGGTTAATTTCTATCAATGTACTTATTAAAATAATTCTAGACGTTTGTTTCTTAGTCTCCGTAACCGTGATCGTGTTTGTAGGAAGTGCTCAAGGAAAATGAAGGCAACTTTCTGATTAGTCCCTTCTCAATCCAAACTGTCTTGGCCTTAACACAGTCCGGAGCCAAGGATGAAACTGCCTTAGAAATCCGCAACAGTTTACATTTGCCAAACACCACTAAAAGTACTGAAGCTATATACTCCATAATACTACCAAAGTTTAAGGGGAATGAACAATATGCTCTTCATACTGCTAATAAAATATACGTCAAGAATAGTTATCCCTTGAAAGAAGAATTCAAAACTATAGCAGCCAACGTTTATCAAGCGGCAATCGAAAGTATAGATTTTGCTCAAAAAGATGAATCCGCAAACACCATTAACAGTTGGGTAGAGAAACAAACAGAGAATAAAATCCATGGACTTATCGACCCGAAAAATCTAGACGAAGAGACAAGAGTTATTTTAATAAACGCCTTATACTTTAAAGGAAAATGGACAACACCTTTCGAGACTTTCGCCACAAGCAAAAAAGATTTTTACAAAACTGCCAAAGAAGTTGTTCAGGTAGACACTATGCACAATACTGATTTGTACAACTATTACGAAAGTGCCGAATTGAATGCTAAATTTTTGGAATTGCCGTACCAAGGGAATGACGTTTCGATGGTGATCGTTCTTCCGAATGAAAAAGAAGGTCTTTCCTCTCTGGAAAATGAAATTGAAAAAGTATTTACAGCGCCTAGATTTACGCATGAACGTGTCAGTGTGTCTCTGCCGAAATTTGCCGTCGAGAATAAAGTTCAACTGAAAACACTTCTAGAAAACGTAATCGTCAGTTTTAGTTTTGATAAAATTTAAAATGTTGCTTTTTGTAGTTGGGGATAAAAACTGCTTTTTCCGAGAATGCAGATTTGAGTGGACTTGCAGGTAAAAAAGGCGAACTCGTCATTAGTGATGTTATCCAAAAGGCCTTTATTAATGTGACTGAAACTGGTACTGAAGCAGCTGCAGCAACTGCAGGTAAAAATTTTATTTTTCAAACAAGCTTTATTTTTAGAACGGAGGAAATGTATGTAGATGAGGTAGGACAATTATTGTTAAGAAATATTATAAGGCTTGATCTGCATATTCTTGCGTGTTTATTTAACACACTAACAAACGTACATATATTTCTTTTTTAAGTTAATGCTTTTGCGAAATGGGAATAATCATTATGCAGCAAATAAGTATCTGGATATTGATCGTTATCAGTCTTTATTTGTAAACAAAATTTTCGAAGGAAAGTGATCGCAATTCTTGTTAATATCTAGTATTACTAAAAGTTACGTTAAAATTAAACTCGTTATATCCTTACGAGGAGTTATAAATAAATTTTTATAAAAGAATACAACTTCTAACACGCATGCAATACTAATTGTGCTTCAGGGGTAAGGGAAGTTCTGTCAGAATAGCTTTACACCAACTTTATATAAATTTGGCCGCGTTCAACAGTAATAATTATAATAGTCACACTTCTGATGTTAAATCAAGAATTGAATTCAGTACTGAATTATACTAATGCCTTTTCAATTTTTTTTCTAGGAATTTTTGAATCAAGAATTCATAAGGTTAGAAAATTAGTATACACATTTTTTGTTCGACAACCCTTTATTTTTTATATAAGGACTAATACAACAATTTTATTCACTGGAAGGGTTGCTCTACCCCTGCACCATTAAAAAAGCTTTTCTACGTTATTAAATGAATGTGATATTTCGAAACAGAGTATTATGTAACTAGTGTCAAGTACACCGTTTTTATAAATAAATGAATGCAACTATCATTATTTGAAGTTATTTACAGTACCACCTGCGTCTAATTATAGTCTAAATCGACAGACCGTTGTTATTTTATACCTATGTATAAGGTTCAAAAGAGTACTAGTGCAGGTAGTGTAAATTTTAAACGGAAATTCAGAATCATGATAGAATCGATATTTGTGTCATTTTATTAAAAACTGTATTATCGTCCGTTCTTATTCGACGTAAGGCTGGAATCTATGGTCTTCGATATTATTTGCTGTATAATTGGTTGCGTTTTGCGAATATAATAGAGTATATTTCGTAACAAATGTCGAAAGTGGCAAATATCAAGCGAGTGTTTATAATAGATATACGAGTGCGAAGCGGAGCCGAGCACAAGTAGATCTATTAAACACAAGCGCAGATATTTGTTAATTTCGAACGCGTTACGAACACTATTATTTATACGACTCTAGCACAATAAAAAATTTGAACGAAAGACTAAAAATTGAAATTATTAACAAATTTAAATTACCGTATTCTGCAACCTTCAAAACAAGAAGGTAGCTTCTTTTGCCGCCTCCAATACTGCAGGCGGCGTACGAGTGATTTCTTCGTCACTATCACTCACTTGCATTGTCACTTAATTTTTTAAAATAAACGTGCAAGCACAGGCGTATCTAAGGCGATAAAAATTATTAATACGATAAAATAGTATATTACATATCGAGGGTGGTAAGAAGCTAATTACGAACGAAGTTTATACACGAGCGAGCGTAGCGAGCGAGTGATGTAATATGAGTTCGTAATCAGCTTACTACCAGAGTTGTGTCATATACTTTTTCTACGATCCATAATGAAGAATCACTTTCAGAAGAAATTTTTTTGGGAAAGCAAATATTTATAGTTGCTATGGAAACTATTCAAATATATATTACGTGCCTGTTCATTCTTTACATGCCAGTGGATGTAATAACTATGGTTTTACTATGACGCTAGACAGTTCGTAATTCACTGATTACTATGTGGGAGTAGAAAAAAATAACTAATGTGATAAAAAGTAACTAACATGATATTCGGAACTTTCATTCGTAAATTGGAGTGTTGAAAGTGTCTGTTTCATAAACAGTCGTCTAAAGTTAGTATAATTCGTAACAATTGTCGAAAATGGCAAATGTCAAGCGAGTGTTTATAATAGATATGGGCAATTCCACCGTTACTTAGCCTAAAATCGTACGGGACTGCAAAGTTTTTTATTTTGAACTTTCCTCATAACTGCTTTTACACTTTCATTTTTTAACCTAATCGTAGAAATTTGTTTTCTCATTTTGCTTAATAATTTGATATTACTAAAGTCATATTTAATTTAGTCAAAATGTAATTAAAAGTTTGCGTTACTTACTCGAAACCTTTGGACCTGCGTTTTCTGGAATTGATAAAAAAAAAATAATTTTCGGGTTTTCAAAAACCGAGAAGTTTAATTTTGATTATATGTCTGAAAAGAGAAAAAATTGCGTTACTTACACGATGTCATCGTTTCTTACGCGAACTTGTAAATATTAGCTGTCACGGAAGTAAGAAAAATTGCAAATTCGTGTTTTAAACAAAAGAAAAAGTTGGTGGAAGGTTGTTTAGACAGAAATTGCCTCTCCCATGAAGTACAATGAAACATTTCCAGCTTTTTCGAAAATCATAAAATTTAATTTTGCAAATAAGTTGAAATAAACAAAAGTATGTAATGTTATAAAGTAAAAGGATCAAGTGCTAAAAGAAAAAATATTCAAACTTACCGAATTTATAATTTATTTACCTGATGACGACATTACCATCATTTGAAATTTCCATTTGTTTGTTTTCATTTTGGTTTTTCTCGCTTTTCTCCTTTTTATTTTCATGGTATCTTAACTTTTTTTTAGCGCAATCTATTAAACACGAGCGCAGATATTTGTTAATTTCGAACGCGTTACGAACACTATTTTTTAGACGACTCCAGCACAATAAAAAATTTGAACGAAAAACTGAAAATTGAAATTACTAACAAATTTAAATTACCGTATTCTGCAATCTGCAACCTTCAAAACGAGAATGTAGCTTCTTTTGCCGCCTCCAATACTGCAGGCGGCGTACGAGTGATTTCTTCGTCATTATCACTCAGGTGCATTGTAGCATAAAAAACTGTCAAAAAAATGTCAAATTTGTCTGTCTATTACTTGATTTTTTGAAATAAACGTGCAAGCACAGGCGTTGCTAAGGCGTATCCAAGGCGATAAAAAGTTACAAATAAAATAAAAAATAGCTAATGTGATAAAAAGTAACCAACATGATATTCGGAACTTTCATACATAAAATGTAGTGTTGAAAGTGGTTGAAAGTGTCTGTTTCGTAAACAGTTGTCTAAAAAAAAAATCCAGTTATCGCCGTTGCCGAATCGTACGAAATATTCACGTCCGTTCCAAAAAAGTTATAATAGACCGGTCTTGCACATTTCTGAAAAAGCTGACATAATTTCCATTTTTAGTCATGTTTTAAAAACCACTTTGTTTGCGATGTTTATAAAAATTTTCAACCGTTTTTTCTAATGTAATTTTAATGTTATGCAGAGCCTGTACGTAAATGTTGAAGTGATTATATTTTCTTTCAGTTCAAGCTGTTCGACTTTCGATCGCACATCCCATTAACGCTGACTACAAAATCTTCGTAGCTGATCACCCTTTCATTTATTACATCGCCTTTAAAAATGTTGTTTTGTTTGAAGGAAGATTCTCAGATCCAAATTTAAAATAAATTAAGTACCTATGTACGCAGTTGCAAGACTATTTTGACTAGTTGTAAGTTTTTTAATGTGTTCATGGGATTAATATGTATTCAGTGAAACATGTATGTTATCAGGTGTTTGTATGTTTAATAAGTTAGTTTATGTCCAAATTTAAATTCCTGTGATTGTGTTGCCAGCTTGCCTGATTAATCACACGTTTCTTTAGATAAAATTATTATTTTTTATTTCAAGAACAAATTTGTAACTTGCTGAAAAATATAACGTAAATCGTGGTGCACGCAAGAATTTGGTGTTTTTTTACGTTCGACATTGTTTTCCGTTTAAAAGTTTTGTGTGGATTTCAAATGTCTAATTTAAGAAATTCTTCAGTTATAGGTGTGGACAGAATTGGAATCGTCTTGCCTCCCAGAATACTGTACGAATTTTACGCTGATCATCCATTTTTATTCTACATAAAAGTTAAAGAAAACATTATTTTATTCAGTGGTCGCATAAACTTTTCTTCGCTAAAATAACTAGGTACTTTTTTTTTCGTTTATACTAGTATTCTGTGTCTTGTAAATTAAAAAAACAAAGTCAATTTAACATTTATTTTTCTTATTTTACACCTTTCAGTAAAAAATCAAGGCGTCTTTGGATACATAATAAAAACATAGGTACATGTGTTTAATCAGGCATTTATCAGTTGTTTTGAACATACAAATGAAAGGTAAGTATATAGGGTTTGCAAAAATTAGAGAGAAAAGAAAGTGAAATTTTGTTGTAAGTCGTAATGGTTTAGATTTTCTTGTTCCACTAAGCAGGTACTGGGTTCAGATGTTATTTCATTGTGATTTACTGGCACATCCTGAGAGCATTTACTTCGTCCCATTATTGTTTGCCAAACATCCTATACCGGCTTCTCTGGAAACGAGAACATTATACTTGGTGAAAATAAATTCAATACCTACTCTATATAAAAATACTTTTTATAAACTACAAATTTATAGAATAGTAAATTTACCTTTTATATAATAAAAAACTGCACATAGGTAAAAGCCAAGTTAAAATGTAACAAGAATTCAAGAGATATCGAATCTAAACAATAAAAAAAAGCAGAATGTTTTTATATTCTGCCATTAAAAAAACGATTTTTTACCCTTATTGGTATAGGTAATTCACAATTAATAACGACAATAAAATAGTGATACGGTGAAAAGGAAGTGTGGATGGGAAAAATCTATTTTTAAAAGAAGATTTACAATGTCAAGAAATGATTGATTATACCAAGACCAAATGCACAAGAAAAATACGTACCATATACTTGTTATATTTTCTTCTATCATTACTTGCCTGTGTTGATAAAGAACTTGATAAGATGCATAAATGCAGAACCAAAACAGGAATAATACTCCTGCAAATAACCGTTTTGTTAAATTTGCATTTTTAATTGACGAGGTAGAGGAATTTGTATTAAAAAAATAAGTTTTGATCCACTATTTTGTACTGTTATGGTGTACATATTTGTTTCCAATAAATTAACTCAGTTTAAGACTCTGATTTCCTGGAATATACGATTAAATTCTCAAACTTACCGACGACTACAAAGACGATGATGAATGTTAAATTCGACGTTGTACCAATTTCGACGTGTATTACTGCAGAAAATAAACTCAGGAAACTCAAAAAAGCACAAAAGAAAGCATATTTTTGATTATTCTGAAACAAATACGATTAATTTAAGCAAACCCTTGTTTTGTTTACCAACCTTGATAACAGAGACCAGAAGCAACACACTTAACACGAGATTACATGTAGCAAACACTATAGACAACTTAAAGAAATCTTCGCGTGCTTCTTCACTTCCATGCTTGAGTTTCAAAGTACAACTAATTATGCCACAAATACCAAAAATCTGGTAAAGTAAAATTAACATTCGATAAAATCATTAAATATGTAACTCACAAAATTGATTATCACTAAAATAAACCAACCGAAACGTAGATTAAAGATAGAATGGGCTTGTGCCATTTAGGCAATATTTTTTTGCTTCAACGACATTACCCTTCAGTATCCCGACGTGAAACTCGCTAAAAATGTGCCAGGAAAGATTCGGGAATAAAGCAGTTCAATAGACGCCAGACGTCTTGGAGCCACACGATGTTTGTTTAGGTACTGTCGTATTGTGGAGATTTCTTTTTCAAAATTTTCTCGTAATAATTGCACCATCGACGACGACTTATTGTCCCAGAAAAACATGCTTTCAGGTTTTTGTGAAGCAGTACATCTATTTTTTTTTCAGTATTAAAAAAAACCGACATTTTTTATTTTCTCGGAGACTATAGAACAACTTTATGGTAATGAATTCGCAAAAAATTGGAATATACTTCAAGAGGGAGGGGAGTTCTATTTAAATAACTTTAGACAATTTTTTTTTAATCTCATTCCCTTTTTCTTTAATTATATACGTGCTAAAATAAGGTAGATTTATTTTCCATAAAAAATGTATTGTTTGTGTGGTGGCTCTGACTTCATCAGCTCACAAGCGCTTTTAAGAACAAAATTTTATTCCTGAATTTTTACATTGCTGCAATCATTTTACTCTCACGCAATTTAATTAAAATGTTGATTATCCCGGTGACCCGTTACCTTTGACTTCAATATTATTCATGTTTAGGCAATGTACAGACATTTAGGTATCAGTGTCGCTTTTTACAACGCAAATTCTGTTTCGAAACAATATTTCCTTAGTCTCAATATAAAGTGAACGCTAGTCAGTAATTGGTCATTTTTGCAGTGCCCGTAAAATGTTCGAAATATATCTATATTGTATCTTTTGTGTAACATTTAGTGTTTCTACGAATCTCGAATCATCGAAACTATTTTCGATATGGCGTGATTTTCCTTTGAAAGTACTGTTAAACACAACGAGTAGTCAACCAGAGTGCCAAAAGGCAACTGATTTTTTTTTAAATTCTGTAAATAATAACGATTTAAATGCTTTGAAAAGTGAGGATGACTAAAAAATCATTGTTCGTTATTATACGACGCAATTTTTTTATTAGTGTTGGATGCTACAGCAAAGTTTCCATCGGGAATACTAAGCGGTAATATTGTTCAGTATGGTGATTTTACTGAATGTATGGAAGTAAAAAATGCTCAGTATTGCCTTGCCGAAATAGATCTGGAGCCTTTGTGGAAGAAACAGTATTCCGAATACAAGAATTTAGTCCACTCTTTTAATTTCTTTAGAGAATGTTTTGAAGACGTAAGTATGCATATAGAGATTTACTTATATTTTGTGCGGTATTTTTCACAAAAAATGCGCCATTTTTAACTATACATTATGATTTTTTTTCTGTATGTTGGAATTAAAAATATATGTCTTTCTGACGATTATTTATCGACTTTTAAATTTTTGATCTAACGTCAGCCAGCTCATAGAATTCCTGGTTTTACGATGATTCGATGGGGATTTTGCATACCGCGCGAATGCTCAAGTAAGGATCTGGAAAAGAGTTTAAAAGCCAATTTTGGAGTTCATGCACAAATTCGATCAGGAATGTGTCAAAAATCGCAAGAATATGTAAACTTAACAACTGGTGATTACATAGCTAGGTAAGTACCGAATAATCCAACTGTCGTGTTATCAGAGTTTACATGTTAAAGATATCTCCCACAAGATAATATATACACAAAGAATTTTGCTGTTTCTTTACTTTAAACAATTGGCAAATGAAAAAAAAAGTCTTTTTCTGTGCGATTCCTTGCTCTATAATTAATAAAATTAGTGGTTTGTATACTCTTATATGTATTTCACCTGATGCTATTAATGCACTTTAAGCTTCCTATTTCTTTCTGGACGTGAATTTATTAAGTAATTCTATCAAAAAAGGTTAACAATTTATTGGTACGCTTTTTCACAGATAATAATAAGTTAAGTAAAAAGATTTTTGTTCCTTCTGTAACCAGTTTTTTAAAAACGTGTTAAAAACATCAGTGAAATATTTGAATTTTTTATATCGGATTTATCAGACTCAGAAATATGTTTTTCATTTCAGAATATTTTTTGGACTAATAATACTTGGAGTCTCTACGTCAAGCCTCCTTGATCACTTTTTTGATGTCCCCAATAACGGTACGTTTTCGTACAGAAGATACACTTAATAATCGGCTTCTATTTAGGTATTATATTGCAACTATTGATGGCTTTCTCTTTGAAGAAAAATGTTTCGAAATTTTTAAAAATCAAAGAAAACGATATTGAAATTCGGGGGATAGATGGTATTAGGGCACTAAATGCGGTTGCCTTGCTAATGTCACACAAAGCCGTGTCACTTTTCTTTTATCCGTTTATGAATAGAACTGCCACGGTCAATGTAAGTCGTTTTTTGTTTAACTTCAGAAAAGTCGAAAACTCATTTCAGAAACTGAGCAAACCGTGGACAATCTTAGCCAAGAACGCAATAGTTTATACCGACTCATTCATGCTTTTAAGTGGGTTACTTAACGCCAACGCTCTACTAACAGACTTGAGTAATCGCCAAAGCATGAATTTCAAGCAAAAATTGGTCAACAGAATATTCAGGTATTGTTGAAATAAAGTTTATTCAATTATTTACACTCTAGAAACAAGTACATACAACAGTGAATCGAGTCCATAAATAAAATTACAAAGTAGTTTTCGCAATAAAATGATATAAAGATGAATTACACAATGGAAATGGCATGATAAAAATCTATTCACTATCTGATTTATTTCCTGAACCTGATCCAGATTCAGACCCGGACCCAGATCTGGACGCCGACCTTGATCTTGACCTCGACCTGGACCTAGATCTCGACGGCGATTTACTTCTTGATCTGGACCTGGATTTGGATCTAGAGACCGACCGTGACTTAGAGCCTGATCTAGATCTAGAAGGTGATTTGGAAGGCGATCGCGAACCGGAACGTGATCGTGAACCCGAGCGAGATCTCGATGCAGATTTAGATCTGGACCTCGATCTGGATTTAGATCGTGATCTCGATCTAGATTTTGATCGCGATGGTGACTTTGACTGTGACCTCGAACGAGATTTAGACCTGGATCTGGAACGTGACTGGGATCTTGATCTTGAAGGTGATTTCGATCGCGATGATTCTGCATCGCTCTCTTCTGAAAGTAAAAGAATGATTTTTGTGTTTGAAAATTTTCGTGAAGCAATTTACTGTCGTTTTCCTGCTGTTCGTCGTTCTGTTCCATTTCCATTTCTTCGTCTTCGTCGCCTGCCGGTTCCAGCTGTTTCTCCCGGTATCTTTGCATCCGGAATTCGTTAGCGTCCATTGGTCTATGTTTTACGATTAGACGAGTATTGCTTGCAGGTTGGCCGACCTTTTGACGACGTTTACTCAATCGTACACGCGTTTCTAATTCATTGTAATAAGCGCCATCTGGTCTAATAACTAAAAAGTAATTCTCTTCATAACCTTTGCTGGCTTTACTTTTTACATTCCAGTTATATTCTCTGGCCATTTTGTACTCATATTCTTCGTCGTCTTGGTAAGGAATTTCGTTGACAAAATCTTCTCTGCGCTTGGTTAACGTCTCCTCCGTGGGCAAAAAGTAAGCGACGAATTGCTCCCCACTTTCGTCCATCACACCTCTAACGACAAAGTAAATTTTAAAATCCAACATAACTGCCCAAAAGCAAAAATGAAAATACTCAATTATTGATTTTTATCTTTTAGTATTGCAGCTGCTTACAGAAAATCCCTCTCTGCCTGTTAGAAATTTACTGGCTACACAATTTTCAAAATTACATTAAGACTATGACATTTTTGATTTTCCCCTAATAAAAATGTTTGAATCAAGTGCTGGAATTTGTCAAATATTACATAAATATATTTTTTTTAAGTTCTGGAAATGCACTAACACTAAACGTCATCTAATGAAATGTTTGCTGCAAAAAAATGCCACAAGAAGCACGTGGTTTGGTGCTGCTTCAGAGATGAGGGAAGTTTGACGTGATTTTTTTTCGTTTATGACTATATTTTGCTGAACTTAATGATCAAAAATCACGTTAATAGTAATAAATTAAGAAAATACCTTATCATGGCTTGAGACATTTCTTCAATTTGCGCTGGCACCTGTTTACCAACAGGAGCTGGATCTGAGTCGAAAATAACTTGAGCAGATGGATATTTCCACAAATTAAAATCAGGAAACACTGGCAAAACTTCAACTGCTGTAACATTTGGTTTGCTGTAGTGTTTTTCAATTGGATTTAGTGTGTCATTGAATGTCTTCTCAATAGCTTTAATTTGGGAATCTCGATCCATATACAACGTTTCATTTTTCAAATTCTTCTTAATACTGTAGCCAACTTTAGCTTCAACTTTATCCATGGTTTGTGGTTGAAAACGTGTCTGCTCAGTGGAAATATATTCCGTTCTACGAAGCCACGACACTGATCTAGCATGATGCCTGGAGCGTTTAGAGTCTTGTGGTGTTAAAATATCTTCTTCTAAAAGTTTCTCATCAGCAGGATCCAGCATTGCCCCAGGTTCAACGGCATAGATATCTTTGTTAATTAAATCAATAGCAACGCCTAAATCATGCTCTGTTAGTACTTCATATCTGTAATTGCGTTCTAATGAAGTTGGGTTAAATTGAATGAATCTAAAAAAGTAAAAATGAAGTATGAAACGAAAGCAGCACAGTTATCAACCTACCGAGACGAATCAAAAGGGTATGAAATAAATTTTAAATCAAAAGGAATATCGGGCAACGTGTTGCAATACTTTACTCTGCATATCAAGTCCGATCTGAAAGTTAATAGATTAGAATTCGGTTAATTTTATCCATGTACCCACTTTTTTTCTGCTGGTTTAACGGGGCGTTTTTCTTGAGTTGTGTTGGTGCCATTTTGTATAGTTGGCGGCATCGTAGACTCGTTTGGTAGATTTTGGATACTATTTAGAGACACTGCGTATAATGTTATAACACAAAATTATAAGTTACGCTGTAACAACAAAACTCTCTTCGTACATCAAACACCTAACCTCTTTTTTGACACCTTCACCAATACCAACTGGTACCAATGAAATGCGCTTGCTGTAATTGGTCAGTTTGTGTTACCAACATGTTACTGATAAAATCGATTCGTATTTTAAAATTGAAGTTTTTTTTTCAGAATCCTTCCAAATCTGTTAGCTTTAATCCTGTTTTGTACCTATTTATTGCCTCTGATGGGTTCTGGACCCTTATGGCCTACAATTGTTAATCACCACGCTTTTCTATGTAAAAAATACATGTGGAGGAATATATTATTTATACATAATTATTTTGGGTTTGAAAACATGGTAAGTACATACATAAATAACTATTTGGAATGGCACTAATGGTTAAATATAATCATCATTTTATATTTTATAGTGTTTGACCCACACACACCAGTTAGGAATTGACATGCAGTTATTTTTTATTACACCACTATTGGTCTATTTAATTTGGAATTACAAGAAGTTGGGATTCTTAGTATTATTCGGAACAGGATTAGCTTCGACAATTTTGAGATTTTGGATAGCATATACAAACGAATTAACTAGTGTAGTGTATTTCGGTATTCCGTGCGTATGCTACAGGTTGCGTGTTTTTTAAAATAATAATAACATCATTTCAGAATTTCGAAAATGTTTTCAATTGCTAATCTGTCGTACATCTTGCCAACGCATAGAGCGACTATTTATTTAATGGGTATTTATTTAGCTTATTTATTAAAGTTTTCTGAAAAGGACACTTCATTAAATAAGGTAATTTTTGTATTTGTGTATTCAAATACTTGAAAAAAAAAACCTAAATTATGTTACAAACACTAAGGAGAGAATTTTTAGATACAAAAAACTTGTCTTTGGTGTTTTCTCTTACCTGTATTTATTTGGAGTTGGGTGGGACAATATCACATGGTTGAAAAAACTTACGTTTATGACAGAGTTGAAGGTTCTCTTATTTCTGCTTTCTCTCCGCTGTTATGGGGAGTTGGCATATCTTTTGGAATTTTTTCCATAAATCGAAATTTTGCAGGTAATTTGTATTAAGCTTTGTGGAAGAGATCTGACTTTAAATTGAGAGTACGTGCTCTTGTGCCCTATATCAGGAGCTGCTACATATAAAAAACAATATTTTATTTTTAGGATTGCTTGGAAAATTTCTTTGTTGGCCATATTTTCAAATTGTTACCAAATTGGCATACGCTATATATTTGGTGCAATTCCCAGTGTTCTTTTACAACGTCGGTGTAACCAAGCATATAGATGAATATCAGCCATATTTCCAAGTAAGTTTTGGTATAATGTAGTTTATAACTTCATTGTATTATTGTGTATTTATAATATGTGTCGTTAGTTGCAGATACTTGAGACGACATTTATTGTCTTGTGCTCGCTAGTGCTTGTTCTTTTCGTTGAAATGCCATTTCAAAATATCAAAGAAGTATTATTTAATAGAAAACATAGTTATCATGCTCCTACAGATAAGGCGTTAGTCAAATATACAAGTACGACGCAAAGGTCTCACCTCAAGAGTGGATGATTTTGTTGTCAACGTATTACCTACTTAAGTTAATAAAACACTGATTATTTCATACATATCATTTATTTAAGTCCATTTCCCATATTTTTGTTTTCAAAATTTGTTAAATCAAATGCGTATTTTATACCACACACAAGACTACTGTATTATTTTAATTCTTCCCTCGACTCCTTGCATTAAAGGTGATTTGATTTTTAAATATTTCGTGTAAACATTGGAGTCCAGATCTCCAATAATTTTATTTTTTATGTACTTTTGAAATAGAGGATTGAAACTCGTATCTGTTAAAAAAGTCGGCAGTAAAACTCGATAATCTTTTTCTAAAATAATGTCTTCGCAACTTATATTTTCGAACTGACTGCAACATGTCTTCAAAGTCTCTACTCGACCTCCTTCGGGATTACTAATATTAAAAACAACGTGTAAGCCTACAAGTAACATTGAAAGAGATGTTGATAATAACAATTATCACTTGCCTGCCATTTGTAAAAGATGTGGAAATTTCAAATGATCGTTATTGATGAAACTTTCTAAAATTTCTTTAAGGTGCTCTCCTTTAATATCACAAATATTTATCGTATCTTGAAAGGGAAAAGTCGTAGTAAGCTGATAAAATGTGATGTCTGCAAACATTAAATTCTTAAAGACTCTAGAGATATTTAAAAAAAAAGCATACTTCCTTCTTCAATTCCTGCTCTTATACCGCCAGCGTGAATTGCGGCGATAACTGTGTTATTGCAAAAATTATCGAGCGTACTTTGGTACTAGAAGTCAGAAAACTGTGAACTAAATACGAGAACTTAATATTTTAAACATACGTACATTGTAGAGCATCGCATCTGTTGCAAAATTACCAAGAGGACATTCCTCCGATCGACACGGTTGATTTAGCATCGTATTTATTGTAGTTCCAACTATTTTCTTACCTTGTAAATTAACAGCTTCTTTCCAGAGAGCTAACTCAGCATCTATTCTAACATCTGCGGTAAAAAATATAATGTCATTTACACGGTATTTGTCTAACCCCTGAAGCACAAACATCAAAATAACGTATTTTAAAAAAAACCTAATCTAACGATCTTTGGCACAGTTTTTTAATGAGAGTGTTATGTGCATGTTCACAGTGTCCTTAGCTATTTGAAATAATCCTGAAACTAAATTACCAGAATGAATATTATTATCATCTAAGAAGATCGGTGCGCCATCCCATCCAACAACATTGGCAAAGTTGTCAAAAAATACGGTCAGATTTCCAAGATATTTGGTATAAGCAGACGCTTGTACCACTAACACTTTATCTCCACTTTTATTTAAGACGATAGTTGGATAAGGTCCTGATGGTTTATCTGGACCTGGTATCGGAGCTAAAATTTGAAGTAAACAGGTAGGTATTTCTCGTAAAAGAACAACTGCAGATTTTATTACATCCTGTGTAGAGAAATGTGTCAGTGTGTCCTCCAACGATAACTCTTATTTTCGAAGACGAGTTTCGTGCCATTTCCAAATCTAGGTTATATCCACAGTGTGATAAAACAATGTTTGCAAAAACTTCTTGTTCAAGTCGTTTGGCTTCATTATAAACAGAGTCTAACTCATTTGCAAATAATACGTTTTCGGTACGGGAAGTTGACTAAAATATAGTGTTTTTTTTTTGTTAATATAATAAGTTTTTTTTCTCGACAAATAATCAGTTAACTTTTGAGGTCTATTTCTTTGTTTAGTGTTTCAACTTGCATTTTTAAATGAAATAATTTTCTGAAGTGTGAGTGCAAAAATTTTCTTACACTTGTAGTTGTAGTAAGAGCTCCAATAATACCAATTTTCTTGCCATCCCTCTCAATTATCACACTTCTTCTGTATAAATTATCAAGACGCGGTTCCAAATTAGTATTAATATTTGATACAATTACGGGAGCTTGAATGTGCTGCAAGTAAGGCACTAAACCATCAATTCCATCGTCGAATTCGTGATTACCCAGTGTCTAAAATGTATACAAAACTGAAAAGTTTTCAAAAATGAACAATTTAGTAATTACAATGGCATCTAGCGGTAATTTATTCAGGAAATGTTGCGTTACGTTCCATTTATGAACTATGTACCACAAAGTTCCTTGAAAATTGTCCCCAGCATTCAGTACGATAGAATTTGGTTTGTGTTTTTTTAGCTCCATAATAGCTGAAAATAGCCTTGAGAAGCCACCAATGCAGTTGTTCCCTTCACAAGTTGTTGATACATTGTCGACTGGATCATACCTAATAGAGATGAGCACCGTAAGAAATGGAGTAACGTGAGCAATTTTTTAAATACGTATCCCAGTTATTGTGTTACTATTTCAAAGTCGATTTAATCTTTCGAAAACACTTGAAAATAAACATCTAAACGGACCCGTCAATGTGACTTATAACATCTATAAAATTTTGCAGTGAAAATAGTGAACTATAATACTTCGACTTTATATTTTTAGATAAGGATGTACCTACTCACCTAGCATGAAAATCATTAAAGTGTACAATTGATACATTGTAACTCTCACACCACACTACCTTAGATAAAACACTAAAAATAATCATTTGCTGTACTACGCAACGCATTATCGCTAGCAGATTTTACGTAACAAATAATTATTGTGCCTGAAATTGCGTTTTATTAATGCTTTAGGACACAGTAAATGATATGATTTTGACAAAAAAGAACAGAGTGGATTGTGGCTAAATAACTATTCGATAAGACGCACTAATAAAAATAAGTGGTACAGGTACTTTCATACATGTTGCTTATCGGCTAACGTGTATTCGTCCTTCAATCTTCTGGAAAATCGGGGATTTACGGTGTATATATCTAACGAACACACTTAAATCTAACTCTCCTAGTTGTCGGTTTCGAAGATAAGTTTTGATCAAACTAAAACCAAAACCACCGTTGGCCAAAAACGATGGTAAAATAATCGGATACGTTTTGTTTTCATCAAAGTTTTCATAAACTGGAGCATTGCACTTTCTGCATCGTAGTTTAAGGCACGTCACTCGTGAACCTTCCACCTTCGTCAAATTGTAAACAACCTGCATTCCTTTGTATTTAAAAAGTAAAAAAATCTATGATTATAAGTAATGACTACCTGAAACTTGCAACAGGTTGATGTTGTCGGTGCTAACGGACGATTCTAGAATTTCTTTCAAATGTTTACCTGTAACTTCTCCAATATCAATCGTGTTAGCGAAAGGTTGGGCAGTCACGATGTCATTGTATGTTATGTCTGCTTGTAAGTAAAAAATGTTTTAATATTACAAATTTTCTTCAGACACTTACTTCCAACATCAATATCAGATCGCAAGCCTTTAGCATGCATGATAGCTATAGGACCATTCGTCCAAGACTCAGCTACAGGCGAATCGGTATACTATAATTTTATTTTTACTAAAATTTATACATAATATGTGTAAAAATTTAACGTACTGCGAAAACCATGGCATCTGTTATGACATTTCCCATTAAACATTCTGCCGTAAGACAAGAACTCTGTTTTAATCGTACTAAGGTACTACCTATAACCTTGTTTCCTTGACGATCGACTTCTTGTTTCCAAAGTAATAGTTCTTCATTTATTTCTTCGTCTTAACAAAATAACTAAATAATTTTATAATCACAGATAATATGTTTCGTATACCTTGCGATAGCGTAGAGTCTAAAAATATTGAATTTCCTACCCATCCAACAGGCTCTCCGTTCATATTAAAAGAAATTGTTAAATTTCCTAAATATTTGCTATAAGATGAGGCTTGAACTATTAAAACAGTTTTGCCTTCAGAATTCTTGACAACTGTTGGATAAGGACCTACTGGTTGGTCCGGTCCAGGCACTGGTTCTTAATTTGATTTAATAGAATATTATATACCACAAAATTTCTACTCACCTCCCGTATAAAGAAAAGAATGTGAGTGACCTCCAACAATTAAAGAAATTTTCGACGAAGATTTGCGAGCTATTTCTTTTTCTGCGTCGTATCCGCAGTGAGATAAAACGATATTCGTGAAAACCCCTTCTTCTTTAACCAATCGTGCCGCCTCAGCGTTAACCGAGTCTAATTCTTTCAACAGAATAATATTCCCAACATTAACTAATTCCTAAAACCCAAATTTCTGGTATTTATGCATCACTTGTACAGAACAACATTGACGCATAAAACACTTTAGGGGCTTCTTTTATATCAGTAGTTGTCAAAGTAAATCATAAAAAGTATATAGGTACTTATTGTGTTTGTTTGAAAATGTTTTAAAAGAGAAAACATTTTTTTTCGCCGGAGTATCAAAAAATAGCTCTTCTGATAAAGACGACGTGTAAAACTGAGCAAAAACATTATACGCTTTCCGTAACCAATCTTTGGTCAGTTTATGTCGTCCTCAGAGTCATGACCCATCAAATGTTGTTCGTAACGGTGTTTTAGATTTTTTTATTATCATTAGAAAAAAAGATATTGTAGCGTTTGGATTACTTTATAATCACAGTATTGATTAATACCCACATCTGTTGTGGACAAAATGACTCCTATTATTCCAATTTTGATCCCTCGTCTTTCTATAATCACGCTTTTGTTAAGGAGATTTTTAACGACTGGTTCTTCGGTCGCATCAATATTGGCCACGACGACGGGGGCGTTGAGATGTCTAAGAAACGGAACTAGACCGTCAATTTTATCATCAAATTCGTGATTTCCAAGGGTCTTGAAAGACACAAAAGTACGAAAAATTAAATTATATTAAAAACCATCTACTCACAGATGCATCTATAGGCAATTTGTTCAAGAAATACTGAGTAACATTCCATTTATGTACATTATACCAGAGAGTTCCTTCAAAACTATCTCCTGCATTAAGTAGTATTAAGTTTGGATTTTTGTCGAAAACTTTCATAATGCGGGCATACATTCTTGAAAAACCGCCAATACAATTTTTGTTTTTGCATAGACCAGAATCGATATTTGTTTCTTCGTAGCTTTCTCAAAAATGTTTATTAGTTTGAGACTGTGTTTGTTATCAACTTACCGTGCATGAAAGTCGTTGATGTGTAGTATCGACAACTCTGTCAAATTTTCTTGGATTATGAAACTGGCCGTACAGCTAACACATATGAAAAAATACGTAACACAGTTTATTCTTATCATTCCGATTACCCAGCGTCGACAACTAATGAAATACTTGTCCTTATGTTTATTAATGTTCGACGTTGGCTGAATGCGACAGATAAGTAGAGTGAGTAGGTAAGGACGTAATTTCAGAGAAGGAATTATTGCACAAAACAGAAAGTATCTTCAGTATTTACTTTGTTTTTTTTTTTTATTCGAGAAGACTGATATTGACAGATTACCTTGGAAGATTAGATTTAATTTTCTGGATAGATACCTATACTTAACTTGTCAGAGAAGTAAACACAGATGCCGGTTTTGGAAGCAAATAAACGAACACGCCTGACAAATTTTGTTGACACATAATAAATAGTGCTAAATTCATGTAAACATTCACTCAAAACCATAAAAAAAACACTTCGACAGTTTATTTTCGTATATAATTATCTCCAAAGGCAAAAAAAAATGAGAGAAAAAATTAAATAAATTAACGCGTTTCACATTATTTATTTAATTTAATCAACATATAACAGTACAATTAGCCGTTTATGTTCCTGTAAAACACTTGTGTTTCCCCTACAAACTCTATTCTTCCCTCTATTTCTTCGTAAACCGGAGACTTAAGTTGAAGATACTCAACGAAAACATCAATATCAAGACGACCAGGTTGTATGTTTTTCAAATTATCCCTTATGATAACGAAGCCATCACCACCATCTTCCAAAAAAGACGGCACTATTAATCGATACGTTTTGTTTACGTCTAAATCTTCATAAACCGGAAGTTTACACTCATTGCATCGAACTTTAACGGATTGCACACGAGATCCCATCGGTTGAGTTAGATTCGCAACTATCTTGAAACCTACAAAACATGTTTAACGTTGAAAAGGATCACGACGCACAAACTTGTGGATTAAACCTGAAATCTGTAATAAATTTACATCAGCATAAGCTCTCCCATAACTGTATGGAGTCATCATAAACTCGAACATTTCTTTGATGTATTGTCCCTCGATTTCTCCAACATCCCAGGTGTTACCAAAAGGTTGTGCCGTGATCATGTCGTTGTAGGTAATATCTAAAATTTTTCATTTTATTCGTTTTCTAACACTTTTGAACTAACAGACCTCCTTTTTCAATCGTAGTTCGCAGCCCACCAGTGTTATAAACAGCGAGAGCGGCGTATGTCCAAGAGGAGTTATCTGCAAGTTCAATATACTACTGACAGCGTGACTAATGAGTATCCGGAATGAGCGAGTGACTTACACTATAAACCATAACATCGGCAACAAAATTTCCTAATAAACATTCTGAATATCTACACATGCTTTCGTCTAAGGTAACTAAAGTACTGCCTATTACTCGATTTCCTACTGCGTCTACCTCATCCTTCCAGGGCTGCAGTTCTTGATTGATCGTGTCATCTATAAACACACAAAAATAGAAGGACAAAAAAAATCTATATATGTATGTGTTACTATTCATAATTTTATTCTCGTCCATTTTTACTTTATACTATTTTTTTTTGTATTTCTGGACTCGTGGACATAACAAATAAGAAGAAGAGATGTCTTCTACGTCGACAGTTTCACAGTTTATTTTACCGCTTTTTCAAGATGTTCAATCCCTATTTGTTATGTCCACGAGTCCCGGAATACAAAAAAAAAAGTATACGTGTTACCTTGTGGTGTATCTGTATCCAAAAATATAGGCTCTCCAGACCATTCAACACAGTCGCCACTGCTGTCATAACTAATAGTAATGTTTCCGAGATATCTGGAGTAACACGATGCTTGAACGACTAACACTGTTTTGCCATCATCGTCTCTTTGTATGATGGTTGGATAAGGACCAGCCGGTGTTGCCGGACCGGGTGCAGGTTCTGCAATCGGCAGGTTATTGACAGTTTACTCACCTTAAATAACAACGAACCTCCTGTATACAGAAAAGTATGAGAATGTGCACCAACAACTAAACCAATTTTAGAGGCAGCTGTAGCTTTCTTGGCGATTTCTTGTTCGGTGTCATACCCAGAATGAGATAAAACGATATTTGTGAAGACATTTTCTTCGTTTACTAGTCTCTCAGCTTCTGCATTAACAGATTCGGATTCGTCGTAAAATTTCAGTTTTTCGGTGTTCGAAATTTCCTAAAGTCTTTAATTACATACATGCTTGTCGCTATTGACATCATGTTTCTTACGTCAGCAGTTTTGATTATGACCCCTATGATTCCAATCTTTTTACCCTGCCTTTCCACTACCACACTTTTTTTATATATGTTCTGAATGTCGGGTTCTAAACTGTCGTCGATATTTGATACGATAACAGGAGCTTTTAAGTTTTTTATAAAAGGTACAACTCCGTGAATACCGTCATCAAATTCGTGGTTTCCTAAGACCTTGAACCACCGTTGCCAGGTTTGTCAATGGTTGCGAAATATACTCACAATTGCATCAAATGGTAATTTATTAAGAAAGTACTGAGTCACGTTCCATTTAAAAATGTTGTACCATAGAGTTCCTTGGAAATTATCTCCTCCATTTAAAAGAATGGAATCGGGATACTCGGATAAAGCTTCCGTCACAACGTCGTAGACTCTAGAAAAACCACCTATGCACTGTTCACTCTTGCAGCTCCCTCCTTCATCATTCGTTTCTTCAAATCTACAAGGGGATAGAACACAAATGGTACACCTTTATTGCAAATTCGTACCGTGCGTGAAAGTCGTTCATGTGCAAAATTGTTATGTCAAATAAATCGTCACGATTTTGAGACGAAACAGATAATCCCAAAGACAACAAAAAAAACAATAAAATAGACATTCTTATCATCGCGATTGGCACAGCTCTACTAATGATAGCGTACTACAAAACATACTAAAATGAATTGTTTAAGATTTGTAAGATAAGATAATGAAATTATAGATTATTTTTAAATCAGCAAGGACGACAAATACATGTCGTCTTGGTTTGAAATAAAAGTTGAGATTACTTATTATGAAAACAATATTTTTTCACACTTGCATTTATTTTAATTCTAGTAGTTTGCCTTGAGAAGAGTTTCGTAATATACTTTGCTTCAGTATTGAATATTAATTTGCTCTTGGTTGAATAAACTTACAATCAAGTTATTCTAGACCTGATTGAATCAAATTCTCGCTTAAATATTTTTTTATCAAATAACGAAATGACACAAACTTATCGTTAAAGGCAATTAAATAAAACACACACACGTGTACTGAATATAATTATATTTAATGATATAATACATGGTTAGGCATAGAAAAATTGAAAACGATCAAAGTCAAAACTGTTGGTCTCCTTACATGAAGAACTGGAGGATTTGGAACTTTAATATTAAAATAGTTGCCGAGTGCAATTATAAAAATACATCGTGGTCGTAGTGCTACAAAAAAGGCTTCACAAGATGTGCTAAAACAGTGCTCGCTTATGTTAATGACATTTTGACTTTAATTATAAATAAATGGTAGAATCGAAATGTTTACATAATTTCCCCATATTTTTATTTCGGTAAAACATCCGTAATTTCTATATTTGTTTTAAGTTACACTGTTTCATTACTTAACTAGACACTGTTTGGACCCTTAGTTGCCTAAAATGGACAGGTTTAATAATAAAGGGTGTCTTTACTAAATACGTGTAGTTTGCTACTCTCTAATAAATAAGCTGTTGTTGGTTTTTATCACCATCAAATAGTCTGAGACGTCACCTTAAAAGTGAATGAAGACGCAAAAAATTATTCCATTCCACAATACATGATAGCCATAAAGAGGCGCAACAACAACAAAGTTTGTTATTTCCTACAAAAGTATTTTTCTTTCGATATCTACGTATAGTGGAAAACATGTTCTTTTACGTTAGCATTTTTAATTTTGACTTCTTTAAAATTAAGAAACTGCATTGTAGTCTATATAACCCAAGCAAGCAATAAACCATTCGTGATTAAAGCACCGATACTTACTTTTGCATGACCCTATAATTTGTAACACTTATTGTAATTTTTTTTTCATAAGCTGACGATTCGTTAATTCAGAGCAAATTTACAAGTCTGATTTACTGGTCTAACTTAAGTCTTGAGCATCGTTCATCAAAGCGCAATGTGGAAAAATAATAATAATAATACTTTTGGAAGTACGTGACGTTTAGTTTCAGTCACCTGCACATACATTTATAAATACAGGTACGTAAATATGATGTTTGTAAAATATTTAAAATTTTACGTGTAACTTGGCTTGTTGGTGTATGTTTGAATGATCCGTTTCAATTGCAATAGGTAGGTATCTTTATATATTTAATTTAAAATATCAGTTGGTTTGTGTTAAAATAAAGTTTTATATGTGTGGCAAAAATTCTGGATAGAAACACTGAATGAATAAAAACATATCTATGTCTGCGAATTACTACCTACCGTTTCGGCAAAATTACGTTTTTAACAAGTAATAACTATTATACCAATATTCATTGATGTTAATATGCTTTAATTTTAAAAGAACTATGCTGCTAAAATCTATTCTATGAGACTAGATTATTATTTATAAGAAATAATTACATAAATATTTATGTACATTTACGTGTAGTTTCAATCACATTTTCATAGTAACTAGTGAAAGAATATCGAGCGAGATTTTCCACGTTAGATACATACATGGAAACGACGTTTAACTAAAATCTACATAACAAAAATAATAATTGGTGTATTACGTGGTTGTGTTATCATCTAAAAACAACAAAGTACTTTAAAACTGTTCTCCTAAACACAATAGAAATCTCATGGATCACATCAGCTTCATGATACTCGAATAATACTGATAAGAAAATTCGTACTTGGAGTTTGTTTAATTTAAGTAACAATCATTGATAAAGTCCGAAAATGTTGGGTGTTAATAAAATTTGAAGTTTATGATTTCTATTTTTAGCTGTCTTTAAAGCAAAACCTATTCAAAACGTTCTAGAAAAAAGTAAGTAATAACATAGGTTAAACACGTGTGTGTCATATGTCCAGAATTTTGTGATCACTACACAGAAATTAATTTGTTAGGCATTCTTGAAACAGTAATTACAGGAACTATGATTAAATTCTGATTCATAAAAATTGTATCCAGTTTTGAACGGTAAATATAATGTTATTTAGAAATAATAGTCATAATTGTTTCGAGCTTTCGCCGCTGATAGCCTTATCAAATGCGATAAATATATTTACGTAAGAACGACTTTCGTGAATTACTTGACAAGTTTGATTTTTTTAACACAATCAAGACCAAAATTAAAGTCTAGCTAAAACACGGATGCAACAACATTTTCTCGAATGACATCAAATTAACAATACTATCATTATTGTATGCTACGTCAAGCTAGTGTGTATACGAAAAATTTAGTCAATCGAACCGTGAGTTCCTGTAATATCAGCTAACACTACACCTAGAGAAAGTCGCTAAATTCTATCTATTTACACACTATTTAATTAGTATTTTTCAAATCCTAGATGCTTAATGCAGTTCAAAAATCGATTAATAAAAGTTTAACCAGACAAAAAAATGTACAACTATTTATACATGAGTAGCACTTACAACAATTCTCACTTCAAACATATACAGATTGTCTTTTCGGGAAATGTTGAAATTCGTTGCAGTACTTATTTAACCTAAGGCCAAGTTTCTCAAAATGCCGTGTTAACAACAGGTATAATTGAAGGTGATATATTTACATTAGATTATTAAAATACGAATACAAAATAAAATTTTGAGAAACGAGCCACATTACACGTTGCATTTTTTCTGTAATAACAAAAACAAAAGTACTGATAGGACGAACACTAAACACATACATTCTAATTTATTGCCCTGTGTTCGAATTTTTCTTAGCGACGAACATAATAAATAATAACACGTGGAAGTAGTAAAATAGTGACTTACATCTATCAAAGGAATGTCATGAGTGATATGTTTTAGTAACTTTACAGTTATGTACAATGCTTATGATTGTTCTTCTTTCTGGAAGAATATTTAATTTTCTTGTGAAAAAATATAAGCCTAAATGCGCTTATATATTTTTACAGAATAAATTAATTATACCAACAAAATATTTCCTACGTAAATTTTAATCTAACGTAATAACAAATATGCCAAAAAAAAGTCTTAAATTTAGTATTATCACATTTGTAGTATTTTAGGTACAATAATATGTTTTCTAGCAATTTTGAATACAGTAGTAAGGCAATTTTAGAGAAACGACGTGACAGATTAATTATTTAATTAGTACATTTTATTGCTCGTTTCAGACAACAGTTCCCAAACTCGAAGACACCAACTGGAAATGTTCTTGACCTGTAAAATGTTTCGTTTGTTTTATCAGCAAACACATTCCAGACCAGTCTTACTCTCGAGGTACGCAGCCAGATCATGATCATCCGATTGTAACGCTAACAGTCTTGGTGTTAGACCTCGATGGTCTGTAATGTCGAGAGCCGCTCCTCCCGCAACAAGCATGCAACAAATACTGCGCCATTTGTATGCTGCGGCTTTATGTAGAGCCGTTTGACCTCTGTATCGACAACAAAGCGAGATGAGAACACTAGTTCGGAAAATATCGAGAATAACCACGGTTGAGAAGAGGACGAACTGGAATTTCTGGCTCTACAAACTTATCACAGATGGAAAAAATTCGTTTACGTATCACTACTCCCTTCATTACTGCTAGGTAGAGTTAAAGCAAAAAAAAGACTAGTGTAGTCACAAATTAACGTTACTCGAAGAAATAAAATTCTATGGATTCACATTCACATCACTTTTGCATGTAACGTGTTGATCTAAAATAATTAGGGGAGTCAATATTTTCAATTTTCTCTTTTTACATGTAAAGACCTATGTTCCAAAAACGATTCTATACCCGGTATGTAGTTAAATAAAATAGAGGGGTTTCCTTGATTTACAATCAAAGAAATGTATAATATTTCATTGATTATTCTATTCTATCTCATGTAGATGCGTTAAATCACACGTTAAAGGACCGTCACTCCCCACATTTCACGTAACAATTTTTTCGAAAATAAAAATAGTTCTGTTAAGGTTTTACCATCTGACGACTGATTTCTTCCGGAGATTAAAGTAAACAAGATGAATTTTGGGCAGTCTGATTTTAAAATGTGTATTGCAAGACAGCGCTGTGTTTGTTTTTTAACGACATTCTAACGAGACTTCGTCACGTCAGCAATTGTTATTAATGTTATTGTTCAAAGTCAGCGTAGCGAAAATTGCCAACGGACAAAGACGACCGGGAAACGTGCATTTGGCATTCGCTAAAATCATCCCTCTAAAATATTTTCCGTTGCTTTCGCTCGGAAGGTAAAAACACCTCCGGCAACCGAAACAATCGTTCTAAACATCAGACCTAGTTGACAGCGCGACGTCCTCTTCTCGTAACATTTCGCTATACTCACAAATTTATATCTTTGATATTCAGTATTGAAGATGGAGCATATCTGATTATGTACTTTACAATATCTTTGTGGCCGTACCGGCAAGCGTAATGTAACATGGTTTGTCCCGCGGGATCTTTGGTGAGTAAGGAAAAACCTTGGCTATGCAACTCTTTTACCTGCAAAAATGTTGGTGAGTCTAACACTTATAGAAAAGTTGTTCTGTTTACTGTTTTCAGATCGCCTACTTTGGCTGCCTTCAACAGGGCCTCGTTCGGCATGTGGGAGAAGTCTCTAAAAAAAAGAAGAAACACTCGAATTAGATGCAGTTTGATTTTACACTCTAGGGTGTAAGATGTTTTGTCAAGTAAAACAGTGCACGTCCGGCTAAACTCTTACCTATAAACATTGTAAGATTCTTGAGATAAACCAAATAGTCTCTCAGTGATGCTGCATGCACAGTATTGATTTAGTGTAGAGATATGTAGAGAAAGTGTAAGAAAGAGCGTGGTAAAATAATCGTGATAACCGATTTCGATAGTCGTGTTAGGTCAAGAGGATTTATTGAAAGAACTGATCATAATTAAAGGAAATTTTATTCTAGAAACATGCTAACAAGATCTCTGATAAACTATACATTGACATGTTTTACATGCAATAGGTAAAATATTATAATAAAATTGGTCAAAGAGCCGCAGAGGCATTGGGCTAACTATATTTACAGGGATATCTAGCTTATTACATTTGAATGTGAGAAATCGAAAATTTGGAAGTAAGTATGTAGGTACCTAACTTTGCTTATTCGATTTCAATTAAAGGCTTTGTATAAAAAAAGGTTAAAGCCAAAATAAAATTTAAATACCTTCTTATTTTTACGCTAGCGTCTGGAGAAATGCGCGCTATTTGCTTTTCGCCGTTCTGCTTCTCTACCGGAATCGCTTCGCTCGGATATTCTTCGGGCGATTGCAGGATCTTCGGACTCATCGGCGGCTGATCGCTGGGCGAATCCAAACTGCCCTCGTCACTAAACAACATAAATCAGCACAAATTATTTCTTAGGTAATTATAATGACGCACCTAACGCGCATCTCAGGAATTATGTATGATGTTTGATTAATCGAGCTAGGCGACGGAGCTGCTGTTTCGTCTTCTGGAGTTTGCGGGACGGTTCCGCCTCCACATTCCAAGATGTATAAATTATCGATCGAGATATCGGAGACATAATGAAGGTTTTCTTGGGCCTTATCAATTCGGAAAAACCTTTCTGCCGTGCACGCTGAAAATAACATGTTTTGTTACGAGTTGTGAAGTTTGGATGTCACTCACAGTCCAGGAAACACCATTCGGGTGAAATTTTCTGTTGCTCTTTGCAATCCTCTATGAATTTGTTTATCAGTGACCTCAGTTGCTCCAGATCCCATACTGGATTCACCTCGATTGTACCGACGCATATTGCTGAAGAATTATTTCCGTTAACACCACGAAATAACGAGCGACGAAGTCATCATCCACTCACCTGCTTGAGCTAAAAGATCCTTGTCGTAATGATGCTGTTCATAGTCGGCCATGCTAATTCTATGAACACATATTTTGAGATTGTCTAGGGCGGTTTGCGTTACGTTGGGCTTGCCACATTTTCTCTTTGCTAACATTGGGGCTTTATTCAATAACGACAACGTTATGATCGACGGGTTTAATTTGCAGGCTTCCCCATCTACTTGCATTGGTATGGTCTTGGATGTGACAATTTTCGCTGACTTGCACTGGGTTATGCACGTGCCATGACCTCCAGCTTGAAGTAGAGGCTGTAAGAAACCGATTCAACGAATAAGCGATTTCAAACTTGTAAAATGAACCGTACAAAAGGAAATGTGCATATCCCTAAACTTACTCACAAGCTGATATGTTGTCAAACCGACGACTTCGATGAGACCATCGTCGGTGCTCGGCTCTGATGTACCCATAGATCTGTTCCATGGTCTTGTCCCTCCACCGTAACTATATGGAAAAATCGTTACCACGACTTCAATTCATACAAATTAGTTTACCTTGGAATGTTCAAAAACACTATGGCGTGTACTTTCAGTTCTTTCAGTTTCGGTGTTAAATCTTTTCCGTCGCATTCTAGAGTGACAAAATCAGCTAAACCTTTCCATTTACGTTTGAGTAAATCCTTGCCCCCCATCTGGCCATAAAACATCTTGTTTCTTAATCTAGAGTTGAATTTTTCTGGGTGAGCTTCTGTAACGCGAGAACCGTACTAAGTAAATTGCTCTTTCATAATTAATACACCGCTAACCTCGAGCTTCGTGGAATTCTAAGGCAATGTGAGCATCGACACCTAATGAATAGTAATTATTTACAACGTTGAGAGGCAAATTATCTTTGCCACTTTCGTTAGCTTCTGCGTTTGGGTTCTTTTCGACTTCCAAAGACCATCTATCTAATAACACGGTTTCGCTGCCACTAACATTGGAGAGGATCTTGGAAATAGGTTCGTCGGTGTAGCCCTATAAAGTTTAACGAAATTACGAGAAATTTAAGTAAAGTCATTACGCTTGGATTAGATGCAATAGAGCCAAGAAGCAAATGTTTATATTCAGTACCGTGTAATATGTGCTTTTATAAAACTTAAATATACACATTTACAAAGCACTACTGACAAAAGTCCAAGTTTAATTGATTTAGTTTAAGTAACTTCAGAGGGATTTCTAAGTATAGTGACACAATTAAATTAAAACTTTAGATTATAACTCTAATGCAAACTATGCCGCAAAATATACAACATCGACCGGTCCTACAACAAGTGCCGAGTAACTATTAATGTTTGGGATTTTTTTGTCAAGTTGGTGAGATATTTAAAATTTTATAACGGCATACTTGATTGTCAAAGTGTCTTTTATGACAGTTGAAATCGTCTCAACCAATCAACACGTTTGTTAGGCGTGCTCATGTCAAAATTGACAACTGTGAACGGACGTATTAGCAATAATTCAGAACTGCCAGCACAAAAATTTGCTTTGATCATTAATAGTCGCCCGTATTTCTGAATGAATCACGACGACTTGACGTTTTTAGGAAACAAAATTATGTAGTATGAAAGGAGCGGAACTTACTGGCGAAGTATATGGTAATGATTACTTATTTTGAGATTTTAAGGAAAAAAAAAAAAAAATAGGTGCGGATCCTGACTTTGTGAACGTGCGCTCTGAAGTTGCGTATATTTTAAGGTAAGTAAGTTCATTGCATTGTTTTCACTATTCTCTGCATATATAAATAATAAATGTATGGACAGAACCCACAGTTCAGAAACTAAATTTTACGAAGGCGCTCGAACGAGCAAGTTGTTTTTTTTTTAACGAAGGAGCAAATTTGTAATCTTTCGAGCGATCATTTCAGAATTACGAAATCATCGATATTTGTTTTCAAAGTAAGTTCAAGTTTTTTAATACTTAATAAAAGAGAGAATATACTACTATAACAATTATTAATATTTAAAAAAAGAGAGAAAACGAGAATATAATACTGTAAACATTATAACTAATTACTTAAAAAATGGTCGAAGTTATGTCGACAGAACTTCCCTCGCACCCAATAAATACCGCTTCGTTGAAAAATTATAAAATTTGATTTTGCGATTTTTGTTCTTTTATCTCTATAGTGTAAAAATTAGTGGGGTAAATAACTCCAAAAAATGGAAAGACGGAAAATTGAAAAATCGGAATATCGAAAAATCGAAACTTCGAAAAACTGAAGAATGGGATTAAAAATTTAAAAAGTCCAAAAGTAAATAAAATTGAAACGTCTAAAAACTGAATAATAAAAAAATTGAAAACTCGAAAATTTAAAAAAATGGCAAAATCTAAATTTTGAAAAATCCACGAATTGAAAAATTTGGAGATCGAAAAGGAAACAAATTGAAAATTCTAATAGTGAAAAATTAAAATGATGGATGAATCAAATATTCGCAAATCGAGAATCGGAAAAACGAAAAATCCAAGAATCGAAATATAGAAAAAACGACATATTGAAAGTGGAAAAATCCAAAATTCTGAAATCGAAAAATCGAAAATTCTAAATTTAAAAAATTCAGATATCGAAATAAAAAAAAATCCGAAAATCGAACAATTGGAAAACCGAGAAATTAAAAAATCGAAACAGAAAAATTTAATAATCGAGAAATCGACAAACCGAAAAATCTGTAATTAAAATATGGAAAAACTGAAAAATCTAGAAATGGAAAAACTTCCAAAATTGAAGTGTTGAAAGTTGAGAAATCGATAATTTGAAAATCGAGAAACCGAAAATTTTTAAATATGTATTGAAAACCGGACAAGTCGAGATATAGAAAATTCCAAAAATCGAAAAACTGGAATATTAAAAAATTAAAAAATCGAAAAGCCGAAAAATTTTAAATTCGATAAATTGAGAAAACGAAAAATTGTACAATCTTTCATACGGATAAGGGATTTATGAACCACAAGTGCCGGAGTATCTTGTTTCATAAAATTTACTAATGTAAATTTTGGAGGCGACGTCACCTATTGTCGGTGGTGACGATTAGCCAAATTTTTGTTTGGCGTTTTACCATCTACACGGTAATCCTAATACACATATAAAATTTGACAACGATCGGTTTAGTAGTTTCGGAGATTATGTGTCTAATAAAAATCGACATAGACGCCAGCCAGCCAGACAGACAGACAGACAGACGGAAACGGGAGACCAAATTTTTCGTACGCTTGAGTTCATGAAATCTCGAGAAAACATAAAAGTAGACAGTCGGCTGATGGACTCGATTACAACTTCCTTTAGCTTACGCTAGAGAAGAATTAAAAAAAAAAAAAAAATAAAACATCATTCTTACAAACATAACATATTTTTACTAAGTAGTATTTCAATAATACGACTCAAACTGTGCGAAAATGACTTAAAATAAAACGACTCCCACCAAGTCAAGATTAAAGTACGACAACTTTTATTGAATAAAACAAGGGATAGGTTTCCTAAGACTTCTTGAGTTATTCTTATTCACAATATATCCTGCCAAAATTTCGTAACGTGCTGCTGTAGGTATATATATACACACACACACACAGGTTACAGACGTTTGTAATCAGTCGGCCATTTCAACAAATATAGGTTTCTAAGGTAATTTTGAGTTATGTTAAATTTGCTATTTACTTAAAAAAACAACTGAAAATAAAATCAGATGCGCGACCATTTAGTTTCCTCACTTTATATAACAAATTTATTAAAGTTCGCTATCAGTCCACACAAAAAACTACGTGTATGTACTTATAAATAATATTCTCACCCCGCCCCATCCTAATGCTCTGGCCAGATCATTTCCTGTTCCAAGAGGAAGCACCCCAACGGCAGGAGCAGGAGAAATACCAATTTGGTCGATAACACTCAACACCCAACCAACGGTTCCGTCCCCGCCGCAGGCAAGAACTCGTAGGTTGGGTACTTTCTTGAACATTTCGAGCCCCATCTTGGGACCGCCCTGTGTTAGATCGAACACCTGTCTCGGATTCAACAACCACTGGAATTTCTGGAGCAGCTTGGAGCCTTGATTACCTCCAGACTTCGGATTAATGAACACTATGACGGGGGTGACGTTGGTCGACGGGATCGGCTTGATAGCGAACGTCCTCTGTTCCTTATCCTGAAGATAGACAAAGAAATAGTTGATTCAAAACAGAAATTTACCGAAGCGATTTTACGTGGTCGGCGACCTTTGCAAAATTTCCAGAAACGAATCAAGTAAAGAAAGGTTCTGACGTGGGCGTCTAATTTTTCTTTATTGTTTCATTCTTTGACGGAGACCGCAACGGTGTAGTTTGAAAAGACTGCGTACTATTCATGGATTCCAATTAATCTTTCTGACAGTCGCGGATTGATTAATTTGAACGATATCGAATTACTTTCAGCGATATTTCTTCGACTGGACAGTGATCGTTTCCTCTTTTCACATTACAAACCTTATTATGTTTCATCTGAATAACAATAGTCGATGAACCAATTATGGCTACTTTATCCAAAATTGAACAGTATATCTAATTACTAGAAGTGTGACAATATTTGGTCATATGTTTTATTTAATTACGATCACAGATTACGATACTCCACAACGTAAACACATCTAATTTGCAACTGTCTAGAATATTAACTTCAATCAGTCTCGACAGATTGGTGCAAAATTGGAAGTTCTTTAATTTAATTAAGGAGGCTGAAAAGTTTGAACAACTTTTTAATTTCAGTTCCAACAGAATGATCATTAAGGACAACTCTCCGACGCAACCGGACAGTCTAAAATAATATTTACTATTAAAGGTTTCTTGTACTCCACGAGCAACGATTCTTCTTTTTATTTTAACAGATGCACATATCGTAAATAGTGGCAAATTTATGTAAAGGTCCATATGTAGAAAATGACAGCAAAAAGAATTAATAACAATAACAATTTCATTAAAAAAATTCATCGAAGTTGTAGAAATCATTTTCAATTAAACACCTCTTAAGCATTATCTTTAGTATTTTCGTGAACTAGACTAAGCTAAAAGAACGAAATGGGTTAACTAAAATACAAACCTTATTTTGAGAAGTCTCAAATCGGACATTTAAATTCCCGAAAATGATTATATGTTGTTATTTTACCAAAGTTACCAATAGAAGATCTATATACGGTTATGATTATTATATTATTTATCGTGACAACAGCCATTTCACAATGTGTACAGTAGATCTCCACTCAAAAAGATTTACATCTTTTTTACATGTACCCAAATTCCGACACCATCATGACTTCTTGTGGGTTTACGATAATAAGAAATTAGATTACAATTATCAATAAATAAATTAGTGTGTGGAAATGGAAAAATTCTGTATTTTCTGTGAACGTGGTGGGTGTCGTTGACAACTCCGCTGCTGCTAGAGCCATCGAGTTTGTCAAATTATCAAACTTTTGTTTGGCGAACTCGTTATTCCAGGGAACATCCGTTATTATCAATAAAAGCTCTCCGACTGCGCATTTTGGGTTGACAGAATGCCCCAGAGTACAAAACCCATTTAAATAAAAGGTGTCAATTACTGAAGCTTCCCTCAGCAACGTAAAATGTACCTTAATGTCCAATAATTGCAACCGAAGGGAGATGCGGACCGTGTCGCTGAGCCAGCAAATTTGATTTGCTTGTAAATATGTCTTTGTAGAGACAAACGAAAAAGTTTTTCCTATTTTGCACACTAACGTGACAGAAAAATCTGCTTCATGAGTTCACAAAAATCAGTTGTCGCTAACAAAAATACCTAAATAAATAAAAATGAACATTAGATTACATTGTTTACTAAACTTGACAGAGTATTAAAAATAAAACTCATTTTTAGGACAATACGAGTTTTCTGTTGAGTAGAGGTACCTATCTGATTTCATAAAGCATCAGTGTATGTATGTAGGTAGGTACTAAAGCAACTTTTCTTGAAAGCGGATTATACATATAATGAAGTGGTTTGTCTGCCTTCATCATATTTTGAGACGCAAGCAAAACTATCGTCGCAGCGACATTTTACCCTAATAAAATCAAATAATCCAGTGGTGGAGCAGTATCAAACACCACAACAAAGTGACGTAACCTTTGAAGTAACTCGACTGAAATGGCGAAACAAAAGCCAAACATCAGCGTGTGGGGGCGTTATTATCATAATTCGTACGGTTTTCCTGCTTCTTCATTTAAATTATACGTACGCCTAAATACCGTCAAATTGAGTCTATTTAAATAATAAAGACAACGACTGTCGCTGACCCCAGTTATTCAGACCAATGCCAATGTTGATCTTCTATGTTTGTTAGCTTTAAGTGAACTTATTTCGTTACACTTTCTGCTATATGTATTTGTATATGTACTTGTTTAACGTTTTATTTCTTTAATTCTTAATCGGCCCGAATAATGAATGTGTGATATTACATCCAATAACCACAAAACTTCCATAACATGAAAGAATTTTTTTTATGTATAAAATTTGCCCGCCAGAATCTTATTCAACAAATTAATGAAATGAGGAAGATAAGTAACCAAAATCGTCGTATGCTTACAGAATAAATATTTTGCATAGTTTTATAAATTAAACAAAATACATACTTTATCTCTAATTTTTCTTTTACTGGAAGCCCGTTTCTTTGGAGATTTTCTCAGACTTGATTTGAAACTTCCTCTTCGAGGTAATTTCACAATCCATGAAGGAGGAACCACTATACTGCTGTGAACACCTAGAAAAATAACGCCGGAAAAGATATAAATGTTAAGTATATAAATAACTTAAAAAAAAAAGAATTACACCGAGAATTGTGTATACGCCAATAATATGTAGGTATTTTCATACGTATTTTGAAGGACTTATGTGAAGTATTTATTTTACGACTTGTAATGATCGAGTTGCCAATTATTCGTAAACAAGTTCGTTTGGATGAGTTTAAAATGAGTGAGTAAATAGTAAATTGAAAGAACATCTCTGGAAAGAACTCTTTTCAAAATTTCAATTAAATAAATATGTTTCCTACTCCAAGAAAGAACAGAATCTACTTGTTTATCTCAAATAGCTATAATTTGACGGTTTATTTGGTCCCGTGATTTTCACATAGGTAGTATAATTCAAACATTAATGACTTACCTAAATTGCATTCTTCTCCTATTCGTTGAATATTGAAGCAAGTTTCCTTGTTGTGGTAAGCAGCTTTACACCACGAACAACTAATGGCAACAATTTCTTTAGAACTAAAAGATAATTTCGACTGGAATGACTGCAAAAAACAATAGACACTTTAGGTTGAAAAATTTGTAACAAGCAAATCTAAAAAATATGAATGCAATGATAAATCACAAGTAAAAACCCATTATATTTTGCACATTTTGGGTAGAATTTATTCGCCAAAATTTTGAGATGACGTCATCAAATTTTTGAGGGGAATAACGAGATTTTGATTAACAATTTACCATGCCTACAATAACTTTCAACGTCTGCAAGATTTCAAAGTATTCAGTTTTGCAATTCTTGATTTATTCAATAAAATAAATTGACTGATCCATTAATGTTTTTTGAGTGGCCCTGTATAAGCAAATCTAAAAAATGAGGTTTTTAATTTGATCAATAAAAAATTGGTCGAAGGCTATAAGTATAGTCCGACAAATCCAGCTCTTTAAAAAAATTATACAATTTGATTTTACGATTTTCGTTTTGTGATAACCGCTGTAAAGTACAAACCAGAGGCATAAATAACACCCCTTGTCCTTCAGCAGTAGGTAATAGGAATCTGAAACTGAAGTGTTTATTTATGTTTATACATCGAAATAATGTCACGTAGACGTTAGTTTGATTTGAATGAGTTTGTCTTCTCAAAACAGGACTCAAATTATTAATTAAACCACAATCGAACAAAATGTTTTGAATATTATACCGGGCATTTTTTTAAAAACTGAACATAGGCCTATGTTCAGTTTTAAAACGACGCAGTCAATTGCAACGGTAATGCAACCAACATTACAACAACTCCATTGCGTTGACAGCGTCGTTTTAAGACTGAACATAGGCCTATGTTCAGTTTTTAAAAAATTGCTCGGTATAAAGACGTGCGTATTCTTCACATTTGCGAGAAAATTTTTACTTTTCTATTTTCGATACTCTAATTTGCAATTTTTCAATTTTTATATTACTCAAGTCTTTAGACTTTTCTTTTTTCTTTTTACTTTTCGACTTCTCAAATTTTAAATTCCATTGACTTTTTCGATTTTTCAATTTTTTTGCTTTCCGTTTTTACATGTTTTTACGGGTTTTTACTTAATAGAGTTACAAAACAAAAATCGCAAAATCGAATTTTATAATTTTTCAAAGAAAATATACAAATTTTTGGTAAACATCTTCCTTTTTGCGCATAGTCGCGAAATCTTTTGTAAAATCTAAGAAAGAAAAAGAAAATTTGTCACTGTAATTGTTCGAAAGAATCAAAAACTCGTACTCCAGCATTTATTGTACTACACATTTTTGTTCAATTAATACGTACTCCTGGACCCAATGAGGTCTCAAAGTTTCTAAATTTGTGGAGGCACAGTAATGATGACCTTTGCTTATTTTTTCCTTGCTAAAAGTTTCACGTTTTCGTTAAAAACAGGCGCGTCTACCAAAAAAATACGCCATGCAAAAGACTTTACAACATTAAATGTTCTTAAATATTTAATATCCAAGAAGTTGAGAAATTCGGTGTTCTTTGTGCAGAAGTTTTACTAAAACTTTATAATATACCTACGTATGCCGTACTAGGAATTAATTACCTAAATCGAATCTCAGTATTGCAGCTCAAACTGTTTGAGAGTTAATTTAACAAAACTTCTTCGAAATGGTCAGTTTCACTCTAACACGCCGTAAATTTATTAAAGCTATGTCTCTCTCTTAGAGATCTTCACGACTTAAAAAATTAACACTTCATCGGTCCACAATCCCAGCAACCCTCGTAATTTCAAGCGAAAACTAGCACTGGTCGGTCCAATTTCGTTCGGAGATAAATAATTTGCGGTAGTGTGTGTTTTTCTTGACAAGAGCAAGTAAATTAGACGATTCCAACTCGTCCTAAATAATAACGACCACTGACCCAGCTTCTGCCCTCACCTTTCCACACTGCCGACATTTTCCTTTTTCCGACCGTCTGTGCACCCAGTGGTGATGGATGGAGGTCTGTTCTCTGTACTGCCTCACTCCCACGTCACGAAACGTAGGCTTGCATGTAAAACGCATCTTATCCATCAGGATTCCTATGCAGTTTTGGTGCGCCACCACGTTGCAGGCCGAACATTTCATCCGGGCTCCGTGTTTCTGAAAAACGGGTCGATTTTTTATGACTTCATGGCGGCCCAAGCAACATTTTTTTTTACTGGAAGTCATAACATTTTGAAAGGTGCTTTGCGTGATTAAAAAATTCCAATTTTGGCAGAAAACAAGACGTAATACAAAAAATGAGAACTGTACGATTATGACTTCATTTTAATGAAGTACCTTTCATACATGTTTGCTACTTGAGCATCCTGCTAATATTTTACAGGCATTAAATACACTGAAAAACGTTTTAATAACCTAATAATACTTACCGTACAGTCCAGGTCACCACTGTAACAAAAATCTCCAGAAACTGAAGTAGGAACCCATAAATGATCACCATTGGTTGCAGCTTCACTCCAGTCGGGTGTGCTTCGCAAAACTCTCTCACCGACATCGCCAACAAGTTTTCTGAAGAAAAAAAACAAGGTTTCAATTCGTATATTTTGGAACTTAAAAATAAAATATGAAAATGTGGTAACGCAGTAAATTGCACAGTTAAAAGAAAATACTTGGGAAAATGCATTCAGATTTAATTCGTTCATAATTCTTTTCAAGACAATGGTTAAATATTTTGACTAAAATTTTAAGGTAAATTTACTCAAATAATAACCGATATGTATTTGTTTATATGTAATAAGGTGGCACATACGCACGAACGATGCTAGCTGATAATTTAAATCGATAAATTTAATTAATACCCTGTTTAAAGCTCTTATAAACGTACCGAGTATTATTATGGCTCATTAGTATTTTGCGGACGGTTGACGATATGAGATATGGCTTGTCAAACATCAATTACATTGGGAATCGATTTTCAAACCCATATTCTGCAAAAATTCAGTACTCATGATTGTATGAGTCATTTTTCACGACAATAGCTTAACCGCCACACTTCAGGAATAAATGCAGTAGAAATACTGTAACAATTATTTACCTCGACTTTTTTGTTCACGAATGAGTGAATATTATAATAAACATTTTACGAATACAAATAATACATTTTAATATTGAAATTACTTTGTCGTCATCACATTAGAGAAAATTAAGAAACAGAAAAGTTTCTATTTGTAATAAGGTAGGGCGCTAATAAACTTTATATCAGCCAAATGGAAATTTGGAGTGAATATTTTAATATTTAATTTGTGAATTACGAATTTCTTGAGAAAATAAACACAACGAATTTTGCACGCATTACAGCACTGCAGCTTTAGTTGAATTAATTCAATGTTTTTTCTGTTCGTAATATTTAGGACATTAGTACATATCTGGTTCATTATTTTTTGGTGTAGGCAAAGTGGAGGCATTTAAAATTAGTTTAAATGTAAGGAAGTTGATATGTGGCGAAAATGTGTCAAGTGTTTGGTTTCATGCAGACCGACGATTATTTTTTTTATTTTTAACTGTGATCTATTTTTCTTTCGATTTATTTATGAGCGCGTGTCAAATGGATTTATAGCAACAGAAAATAACGTTTATAAAATTATTCGAACGTTAAGTTGAACGTGGCACCTTCCTATGCAATCATGTAGGTGTGTATTTATCTCTTCGTTCATCTTTCAACAGATGTATTGAAACAATTCTTCAAAACATTTAAATAACAATTGTTCTGTGATAATTTCAGCGTTTTTAGTGAATAGATAAACGAAATTCGACGTTTTAACAGCTATCATTATGTTCTAAAAATATATTTACGTGAACACCTGAGAGAACTGATACACAAATGTTTAAAGTGAAATTGAGCTTTTTAACTAAGATACAAAGGTCGAGCGTGACGTATATATGTATAATTTCAACATGGAAAAAAGTACGGCGTTCATATTTTACAAAATACGTCGTTTGGAATGTATTTACAAAGTACAGGGTACGTCGTTTATAAATTAATCTCGGGGTAATGAAATTCGAGAAAACACGAAAGGAGCCATTCATCGGATGGACCCTGTTATAATACTTTCTTACCTTACGCTCGGGAAGTAATAAAGAAATCATTCATAGATCGATGATTTAGTGTTTCTATAAATATCACTTTATGCTGAAATTAATCGATTTACTGTCTAATAAGCTTTTAATAGATCAGAACACTGCGTCATTGGTGTACACACAAAGTCAGCTGTTCGCTGATACAAAAAAGTAGCGTTTTCAGTTTTTATTAAAATATTTAATATAATGATAGTAATGTTTATATTTTGATTAACTCTATACATCACCACGACATTTCGCCTCTGTTGTCGTAAACTTGTCCTATTTTAAAAAACGATTAACGATTAATGTTCACACTAACGAAGCTAGTACAAATGAACATTTCATTTTTCGAATTTTTAATTTCTCAATTTTTAATTTTTCTATTTTTCATGTTTTCGTTTCCACAATTTTTCAAGTTCTTGATTTTTAATTTTCATTTTCTCAATTTTATACACAATTTTTTGTTTTTCATAGCGTTTATTTTTTTAACGTTTCTTTCAATATTTTAATTTTTCATTTATTCAGTTTTTCAAGTGTTCAGTGTTGAAATATTTCAGTTCCTTACTTTTCCATTTTTTACATGTTTCAAATGTGCAAGTTTTGGATTTCCAGTTCTACGATTTTTCGAATTCTTTAATGTTCAATATTTCGATTGTTAAGTTTATCAATTTTAATCTTTTGATTTTTGAATTTTTCGGTTTTCCAATTTTTTATTTTTCTATTTTCCAATTTTTCCATTTTTTAGATTCAAAAAGATAAAAAGTCGAAAAACCGAAAAAACGAAAAATTGCAAAATCGAAAAATTGAAAAAAGGAAATACATACATAATTGACCAACTCAAAAACTAAAAATCGAGAAACTTAAAAATTTAAAGATGGTAATGAATCGAAAAACCATAATACTGAAAGATCAAATAAATGACACATTTTTTAAATCCAATAATTCAAAAATGGAAAAATTTTAAAATGTGAAATTGAAAAAGTGAAAAATTTTAAAAATCATAGTTATTACACAATTAAAATGAAAACTAGAAAAACTGAAAAATTTCATAATGACAAAAAGAAAAATTATAAAATCAGAACATTGAAAAACCTATAAATAAATAAAACCGAAACGAAAAATTGAAGGCATGAAAATTTAAAAATCGAAAAATTAAAACATCCAAAAGTTGGACATTCAAAAAACTGACAAATTTAATAATGAAAAGTCGAAAAATTGCATTTCGTAAAACTGAAGAAAAAAAAGGGGAAAATTGCAAATCGAAAAATAGACAAAATAAAAATTATATAGACTGCACTCCAGGGGCGAGGGAAATTCTGTCGAAATAACCTTCGACAAATTTTTGATGCCGTAGCTGATAATACAAGAAAGCTTTAAAGGATGTGCCAATTTCAGCCTTCCAAATGGACTTAGTATGTAGATTTAGTACGACTTTATGCCGGCCAACATACATTATTCGAAGAAAGAAAAAGTGGCGGTGAATAACCTTTTCGTAACATGTTTTTAAACGACCACACCGAGAAGCCAATATAGCAAATGCGATTAAAATGAAGGGACGAACAATCCATTATCCTTTTTTCCCTCAATACAGTTGTTTATCGTGTTTTCGGAGATATAAGATACTTCATCAACAAATTCATGTTTAAACCACACACATAAATAATCAAATGACAAATTACGCCGCTGTAAAACCATTCTGATGTCAAATTATTAAAGAATTGAAGATGGATGCGGAGGTGGGTGGAGAAGAAATAAGCACGGGCAAAAAGCAAATCCTGTAGACCTGTTTTTGCTTCGTATTTTATACCTAAGTGTTATTTTATTTTTAGATGTTAATCTGACGGATGCTCCGTGAACTTGGCAGGATACAAAAATTTCAACGTAATCAATTTAAATTTCGTTACCTACATCTAGAACTAACGAAGAAAGTCTCTCGGTTTTTTTTTTGCAACGCCAGACATAAATTTCTCATGTGGTGCATGAATTATGGGGTCATTCGAAGCGTATCGACATCGTTGCGGAAAGAGCTGCGATAATATTTGGAGCTTAATCAGTGCGCGAATTTCCGCCATGACACAGTTATCATAAAACTATTTAGACTGATATTCATTATCTCCCTACCTGTGCCTCCTGTGGTTCTTGTAATAAACGGTTCTGCGCCTAACCAAGTGTCTTCTCCTTGCAACTGTCGTCATAGGACATGCTGTAAATACCATCGAAGCACTACCAAACTACATCACAATCGACGACAGCAATAACATGCGACAGATCAAAATTAGCTGCGATCGTAGATATCCCTAACAGCCGGCTAATAAATGTTTACAGTCGTTGTACCGATTAATGCACGACTAACTAACATGTTAACATATCAGAGCGAATCGCACAGGAAAACTGGTGAAACGGACGCGTCAAATCGAGTCTTATCTGTACGTAGTGTTTTCCTTAAAGTTGTATTTTCAGCTTAGCGAGTGACGCTACTGCTTTTCACTGAAGTCTGTTCGATATGAGTGCGGACTCTTCAGTTCGTTTCTGTATATATAGATTGTGACTTATTTCCAGTGTTGTCTAATATTAGCCAAATGTTTGCTTTTTCCAGAAATACAGGAGGATCATTGTTTATGGCTCCTACTGAAAAGCGCACCCCGGAGTCGTAGCCAAAAGGATGTCCTAGGGTACATCTCTCTAGTTATCACAGGAACCACAAGTCGTGACAAAATTATATTTAAAATTTTATAAAATAACATATTCCTACCCTTGTTGTTTATGAATCGGTCTTAATTTTTATCCTAAATTTCTAGATTTTTGAAAATCAAATCCAAATTCTATTACAACATTTACAATTTAAGTTTGAAACTGCAAAACCGAATGCTTTGAAATCTGCACATGTTTTAAGGTTATCGTAAGCATAGTAAATCGTTGATCAAAATGTTTACCCCCTTCCAATAAATTGATGACGTCATCTCAAAAGTTTGCAAAATTTCAGGCATTCAGTTTTGCAGTTTCAAAGTTAAATTGCAAAATGTTGTTATACCATTTTTTGGTTGTGTAAGGTGAGAACTCAACACGGATTCAGACAGTACAAATGCCGGAGTATTTTATTTTATAAAATAAAAACAAATTTACTATTGTAAATTTTAGAGATTTCAGTCATGAAATTGTTGGTGGAAATGATTAGCCAATTTTTGGCGACAGACAGACAGACGGAAACGAGAGATCTATTTCTTCGCAATCTAGGGATCATAAGAAGCTGAGAAAACACAAGAGTAGGGACTCGATTACAATACTTTCTGAGCGTAAGCTAAAAAAAAGTGAAATTTAAAGGATAATTCAAAAAGAGTTGGATAAGTATTCATATATTTTCTAAGAGTACAAGAAGAACCAATGAAAATTTTAGCTTTTGTACTATAGTGTACCGAGATGTACATTCCTTTCGGCACACAATTTCCTGG